AAAAAAGGGCTTCGCGGCATTTTAACCCTGGCCCCTTCTAGAATCCATCTTTTCAATCCATCCTTCTTCTCTGACAACTTAAAATTTTGAACACTTTGATCGGTGTTTTGACCCCAATCGAAATGTGCCAGGGGTCACGTAATGTCACGTATTCCCCTCCCTAGAAGAACAGAACACTTTCCATCCTTCAATAGCTGCCGTAAAGAAGGCTGAGCGCCCGCCGTTCTTGGCCAAAGCCGTCTCCTAAGCGGCGTGGCGGTCGACCGCAATTAGTCGTACCTCGGGAAGGAGTATCGTCCCGTACAAAGGACTTTCTCTCCGCTCTCACCCTCAACACCGGCTTGGCACGCGTTTTTAAAAATGTGCCAAGGCAGGCAGACCGTTTTCTCTCCCCGTCTGGCGCCTAGGTTAGTGGATTATTGGATTGTGGTGGGTGGATAAGCTGTTCGATGTCTTGAAACCAGTCTTGCCGGCTGGCTAGCGGCAGATTTTTCTTGATTCTACTCCTTTAAAGATCTGGAATTTTTTATTTCAACCCCTGACGCATGAACTTTTCTATGTTTTTCCGAGTTAAACTTATACCTCTTGCTTTAACACCTACTCTTGTGCTTTTCCGAACCACCGAAACGTAAATTGACAAATTTTCACCAGTTCTAACGGCTTTTGCCCCTTTAATTGCGCTTAAATTTAATAATAAAAAAAACGAACTATAAAAAAGAACTCCGATTTACCAGGACCTTCGCTTTAATTAATTTTTATAAATAATATTTAACTCCTTGTTCTGCATAACTTTCCATTTCTCCAGGAGTTTCCACCCAGCACAGCACTACCTCTTAGGTCTATTTACAAATGCCGACTCCTCAACGACGCAACAGTACAATGCACGGTCTTCATATTCAAGCACCGGCTCATTTCGGGGCCATTTCCGCACTTCCACTCCCCTCCGGGTATCCCGTTCCACACTTGAGATTTGTAATCGTGTCAAGAACGTTTACCAGTATCGGTGCCACCTATATGAAAAAGCGCGGGTCTTGTCCCACTTTATGCGACCGTTTCTTTAGGCTACACTTTTTTGTGGTACCTAGATTTTGCTCTAAAATTTTCGCCCTATTTTGTTACTTTATTTTTCTACCCTAAGAATTGTTCGCTAAAGTTCATAGTTTGTTTTTCAATTTTCACGTTCAATCCAACTCTTCGCGCACAGCCTTGGTTTTTAGAAAAACGAAAAAAGTTGGCGTTGACCGTGGTGCGGGTGTCTGCAGGCGAAGAATAATTCCCGGGTTTCCGGCTGTCCATCCGAAAGGCCATTGCACGCGCATTGTCAAAGGGATTGGGTCACTTTTTAGCGCGCACACCTTGCCCGCCCCGGCCGCCCTGGGCCCAATACAGCTGGCTGACGGGCCGAAAAAGGAAACGCGTAAAGAGTTCTTGCGTGGAAATGATTCTGTTAAATCTTATTTACTGTATATTTTGGGTGTCTATTTTTGCAGTAGCACCTTAAAATAGTTATTCTAATCTGCCTTGTGTTCACTGTAATTACAGGCCTTCCATAATAGGGTTAGTTTCCAAGTATCCCCGGGCGGGTATAGGTACCTCAAGGGCATCCAAACAATGGTCATCTCCATTATTCGGCACATCTCAGCCCTTTCTTTCTCTTCTTGCGGACTTACAAGTGGCTAGGGTATTGATTCTGATGGGATTCACGATTTGTCATTGGTATTTAACACCTCTGAATAGATTAGATTTAAAGTAATTTATTTTTCTTATGACTTCCCGGCTTTTAAGTGGGCACAGTGAAGTTCTAGGAATTTTTTGAGGAACCGAACAATTTTATATTGTAATTTTCTAAAATCGCAAGAGAATTGAAATTTCTGCCGAAAAATATATGTTTAGATGGCATTTTCTGGTTTTTCAAGGCACAATTTAGTTCTAGAGATTTTTAGCCTCCGGATGATTTCCTGTTATCGTATTATTCAAGCAACCCTCTACCTGACAGTTACAGCCGTTTTCGAAAGTTTCACCTTTAACCTGAGGTTGTTCAAGTACCCATCCTCCCCGAAGAGCACGACTACTTATTGCATAACCAGGACGAGAGCCGGCTGTCCTCCCAATGTATACAATGGCCGTTTTTGACCCAGAAACCCATGGCGGTCTCGGCCCGGCGCCTTCCTTCCTTTTTTAAACTTTCACCCCTTGTTGTGACAGTCCCAAAATTTCCAATCTTTGTTCAGTATACATTTCTATGACTGTTGGATACCGGGATGCTATGGTTTTGTGGGGTTCAAGGTCGATTTATTCAACAACCTATATTATGGGATAATGCCAGGCTTCGAGTGAATAATGTGTTTCTCGATTGGACAGAATTTCGACCTTGTATGCATATTCTTTGGTTGTAGCGCTATGGTTTGCACCTTCGGCCTGGAATGCCCTTAAACTTCAAGTATTCTACACTATGAAAAAATAATTTACGTGTAAATCAGAGTCCATTAATCAGAGTCCTGCGATTTCCGTCTGGTTGTCTGGGGTATATTTTCGATATCGGAAAAAATGTTACGCTATTTTTAATGTCATTAGATGCGTAATAGACTGCAGATGACCACACATGACGGGTTTTCGAAAACTGCTGTTTGCGATTAGAAAACTAGGTATTTGGTGCAATCGTAAATCATCAACCGAAGTGGGATACCTATATAGACGGGCCGAGGTGCCTTTTTTCGTTTTATCGTGATCGTGAATTTTTATACTGCTTCACGTAGCGCTGTCAGGAACGCATTAAACGCCGACAAACATTACCCCAGACGTCCCGGTAGGAAGCCATCAGCGGCAACTGTGAAACCGAAGAAGATGTTGTGGGCTTTGGGTGTTGACACGATAAAGGAAGCCCATTGTTTGGTCTCGTAAGGAACGTTCAGAAGGCGGAATTGAAAGCGATATGTTATGTGAGACATCGTGGGTCGGGCCTACCCACAGTCGTGGGGGACGGGATACGATTTTGGGGTTGGGCCCGGCGCGAGTCCACAGTTTAGGTTGTGGCCCAGATTGGGACACAGTCACCAGCTGGCTCTTCTTTCGCTTGGCCGGGCATGGTTGGGCCCTATACGGCTGAGGACGATTAGTCACGAAATTGGAGAGTTGTTTTTTTCGGGGCGTTAATCTTGGCCAATCAACTCTTAGAATGGTCTTGCCTTGCCCATGCTTGAATTAGCTTCAATTCTTGATTCTATCTCTAAATTCCTTCCAGCGAGGGATACAAAAATTGTTAAAATTGGTTTTCAATTCGACCTGAACTTGATTTTGAATTTTAAATTATTTTAAGCTTATTCTATTAAAATAGAAGCCGACCATACCAAATCATTTTTTATTTGATCTCTCCCGAGTCAAAATGTAGCAAGCTTGAATCGGAGAATTACGTTAATTATTCGTGCACCGCTGTTTTCTTATCCTGTGTACCCTGCCCCCCCGTTTTATTCAATGTAGCCACCAGTTTTTAGGTGTTTTGATTGGCTGTTTTAAAAATTAAGCTTTTTCTTATGCAACTACACTTTTTGGAACATGCCAATTTCACTACCAAAACAATACCCTCCCCCACTCCCCAACACTTTTTGCTATACAACCCCCGACCTTTCCGCCCCTCTCCTGAAAAGCGTCAGATGGTCAGCCATACATGGAAATTTGCCCCGGCTAGAATAAGAAAAGCAAAGAGGCGCTAGGGCGAAGAGCAAGCTGACTGGGCGACAATGTCTTCCGCCTACAGGCACCCTTTGTTACCGATTTGCCAGAGCCTTCTTCCTCTCCTCTTTCCACCGGCCCTTCACTACCAAATTGCTCCATTTTTTGGAATGGACATTGCCTACAACAGGACACGACACTTTGTGTATTAAATGGGGGACGACTTTTGTTGGGGATGGCACTCAATTAAGACGACTGGTGGCTACTCACTGTTCTCAATTCCGGTAGGATCCGGGGAGATGTTCGCTCGGTCGGCATTACTGGGAGGCCTCAGGCTTCTATCGAATTTTCGAGTCTCGCCATTTGGCTGTTACTTTATTATGACACCTTATCTCATTTATCGTTGGCTTCACATTTTATAGGACAAAATCTTTTAATTGTAGCTCCAAAAACCCTTTAAGAGACGACAAGAAGTTGGCTTTGCTAGCTAAAAAACCCTATCGAGTTGCTTCCGTTTTCCCCATCGCCTATTGGAAGACCACAAGGTGGTTCAAGGTGGTCAAATAACATACGCGTTGAAATGTCGCAAATGAAATTCATAGCCCTACCGCAAATATCGACTTAGTGAACCATGCACCTTACATCCTACTATATTTAAATAGCTGAGTGTTTGTCTATTTGGTATCGGTGCGCATGTGGATGTTTCAATAGGCAAGGGTAATTCAAGCAGTGTTTGAACGGTCATATAAGCTAGTAAGTTTAAGTAGTGTTTTTAAGTAAAGTATATTTTTGACATCAGCTAACGATAATCAGGATTTTTCGCTACTAAATTTAAGTCTTTGCAACAATATCGGGCTTCTTCTTTGGTAGTATCGGCCGGAACCGGCTCTAACTTTGATCACGAGCCAGATGCGTGATTTTTTTTCGATTCTCTGTGGGTGTTTGGATTGGCTATGTAAAGTGACTGTCATCCTAGACCCTATCTGCATTCAGGTTTGAAAAACAAAAATCTATTTTCAACCCTAGGATCTCTCCAAAATGTCATAACCCAAATGTATCATACCAATAGCTCTTTCCACCTCTTCAATAACAATAACCCGAATTGGTGGCTGGCTGGAGGGCGTTCGTTATTCGATCCCTCATCCCAACACGCTCGAATGATTTCATGTCTTCACCTCTAAAAGGAGGAGGCCATTCTGAACCCCCCGCACCTCACCTCCATCCCCCTTCCAAACCTTGACCTTCCACATTGAAACTACCGGAACATTTCTTTTTTTTATGTCTTCAATGCCATCAACATTTCCTTGAAAAACTACGGTTTATAGGCATTGATGCGGCTGTTAGATCGACCGCTTCTGATTTTAATATTTTCACACCTAACCTGGTCCTATTCCTACCTCGATAATCAGATACTTGGCACCCCAAAGATCAACTGTAATGCAGAGGATATCGAATTGGAATTTGAGTCTTTAAGACAATTCACAGGTATTTAAATCGATAAAAAATAAGTACGAATTCTTTAGGAAAAGTTTACGTAAAAGGCAACTACAACAAGCCGGAATGTCGGGTGGATTACAGTAAACGGACAAAAGATGGGCGACCCACTGGTGGAATACGGTTAAACCATGGAGCTTGTAACATGGATCGGCAAAGACTGGTAACATACAATATTGAAAATAGCTTCATTACCATTTTTAGATTACCCCGGATGGGATGATGTTCTCCACAGTTCTCGTTATTAGTTTTCACCCGGTACAACCTATTATGGTATCACTTTATACTTTTTCAGCTTTTTGTTACCAAAGTGGACCGGGCTTACAACATTAAATGTATGTATAAGGAGATGACGCATACTGTAACGGCTTCATTGGATGTTAGGTGGGTTGTATGGGTTTTAAAGGAACGTGAGATTTGAGCGATTTTTTCGTAAAAAATAATTTTAATTTAATTTAATTTTGAATGTGATTTGATCACCAACTAAAGACTTGAACAGCTTTTTACGTATTATGGCTTGGGCCGTTTCGGAATAGTATTTGGAGTTAATGGAATTTAGTGTATTTCGGAGTGATGAATTTCCATAGCGTATTTATGCCTATCAAGATTATTATATATTGCTAAAAGTTCCCAAAATTACCTCTCCCGCGCGTTTTGTCGGATTTAATTGCTTTTCAATGCCACCCCATTCCCCCGATCTCTATATGACCGTACCAAAAATGCGTTGGCACAAGTCCGGTTCCGCAGGCCACCGATTTAGCGCGGCACCCCCCGCAAAATACTCACCCTCCTGCCACGGCACCACTAGTCCTCATCGATTCTATAGTAAAAAGACTAAACCGTGCCCCTCCCCCGACCGTTATTTTGTCGCCCATTACCGGCTTATACCTCCCCAACGGGATTCGGGAATATGGGCGAGATGTCGCCCCCACCCTAGCATAAAAATGGCCTGGCAGGATATGCTAATATTTACTGTATTAATTTGCATTACAGGGTATAAAATAATTTTAATCCTATTAAATGACCATCTTTTTTAGTTCTCTACCAACGGAACCGCTACATATGGATATGCCGATGCCAACATGCACGTATACGATTCGGAAAGATACCCTCGACGGCCCTGTATTAAAATATGCGCGAGTTGGTGATCAGGTGGTACATCGTTGGGAATGTGATTCGGGTAAGCAATAAGAAAAAAAAATGTATATACTATTATTTTCTCAAGAAAGCTACGGTGTACTCGTCCATAGTTGCTACGTGGAAGATGGACAAGGCGAAAAACAACAAATTATTGATGAGAATGGGTTTGTTTTTCGCTTTCCGGGACCCTAGTATTATTATTAAGTTGTCATACTGATCGAATTCTACTCGGGGATCCGACATATGTCGAAGCTTTGAATATGGCCTACCGTGAATCATTTGTTTTCAAATTCGCGGACCGAGTGGCCGTGCGATTTCAATGTGAAATCCGGCTTTGTTTGAAGGAGGAAGGCGGATGTGAGGGGATTACGGTAATCTATTCATTTTTAGAAAATGATCACTTTTCAGCCGCCAATCTGCTTTGATATGCAGCACAGACATGTTAGTGAATTCGCACCGGAACTTCAGAATAATACGGTAGAGATGGCACTCTTTACGAAGTTTGCGTTCTTAGATCACGAGGAAACGAAGAAAAGCCGGAGCCGTTGTAAAAGATGCTGACCTAATTTCACAGACTGTTTACGTTTTTGAGGCAGATGATAATAACAACGGTGAGTTTGAACAAGCACCTTCAAGTGGGATTTAGTAGACGAAAACGGAGACCTGATCTCGGCTTCACCTTTGTCTGGTGATAGGGACGGCGTATGCATTGGTATCGGCCTATTCACTGTATTGGCTACAAGCCTAACTATAATGCTACTTCTTCTAACCTCAATGGTTGTTTATATGTTCGTAATGAAAATGTGGCGGTAAGCTTCTGCCCACAACCCTATAAAACCGACTTTAGAACTCAGGAAAAGCAGCTCTTTGCTTCATGATGCGACTTTGCTTCAATTTCCTCATTTCCATCCTTTCCGATTCGGGTATTTTCATTGCTTGATCAACTCTCTGCGATATGTGCAAGCATTCTCTCTCTCTCTGTTGGGTGGCCATCTTCTCTTTCACTTTGCTTTCATGTCTCTCCTGTTTCTTTTTCTCTATCTTTGGTTCGCCTTGTAAAAAGGTGTGAGAGATAATAAATTTATTTTCTCAAGTGAGACGCGAGCAGACTACGGGATTTTGCAGTTTACATCGGGCGATGAGTTTTGATGGTTATTGAGTGGAAGAGATAGGATCGGAGGGGGCGGGCCCATTTTGTGCAGGGGTGGTAGGCTCCCCGCGGATAGTGGGTTAAAGGGATCACGACCGCATAAGCAATCGGTGACGTGAGGTAAAGAAAATGTATCTGCGCCTCGCCACTGGGCATGTTCTCTGCCCTGTTGGCTATTTGTCAAAAAGTCGATCAGGCTGATCGACCTTTGTCGTCGGTATCCCTTTAACTCCCGGGGCGAGACCCTCACACCACCCGGGCTCGGTTCCTCTACAGCACAATCCCTGCCATTTTCCTGATAATCCTTTTGGTTTTTTTTGCTCCAATAGTATCACAAAGCCCGTAGAAGGCAGTAAGCCAAAGGAAACTAGGGAGTTAGCATTAAAACTCGAAAAATAGCGCCGACAAGAATTTTTGACAAAAATCACAACCAAATCTTTACCCAAGGTTTAATTTCCAAGTTTGAGAGGCGCGCTACCGTCTGCTTCATCTCGAGGTCATCCGCCTTCAAGAGCCCGGCACCGATAGCAGCCGCCACGGCAGCGCCCCAGCCCGACACTTAGTAGATGCTAAATGGTTTTCGATGAAGATGTCCAACCGTGATCCAAACTGGCCACCCCACCTACGCCCAAGTCACTCGTTGATTCCCAAGTGCCGCCCAACCTTTTCACTAATTTAACGACCCAAGTCTGGACCCAATGAGCCCACCAAATTTGACCGAGGACTCCAGATGATTCCAAATAGTATCAGAATTTTCAATATTCAAGCGTTTCCGCGTCCAAACAGAGCCCAAAGTTTATCGCGGCGCGGTCGCGTTGAACTCGGCCGCATCCTGGCTATTTGGGCCACGAATTTCCACAGCATCGTGGGCCAAGGATGGACACAGATCTTCCACAGCCGAGCCCCTAGAAATATTTAAAAGGGGTCTGAAATCCGGCAGGAATCGAACCCGGGTCGTGTGCCTGGCAGCCCTGTGGCGCAATGGGTAGAGCGTCCGTCGGCGTGCCAATCCAGAGCTGCCGCCAGTTCAATCCCAGCCCCCTCCAAAAAGCTGAATTTCGTTTTGTTCTTTTTTTGCAATAGCTTCAGCTCGTCTTATAGACGTGTTTTCATGCTTACAAATCCAAAAATTTTTTGTTATGCATTTTTCGGGTACATTTTTGGTGCGTTTTGAGCGTACTATTAATGGAATATTCCAGCAAATGTGTGGGTGGCCGACTGATAAACGATACATCAATCGATGCAGAAAAAAGTGGCGCATCTTTCTATGCTGGTCTCATGAGGCGGCCAAACACCCATCAAGTCGAAAACTGCAAAAAACTGTTTTTAGTACGCAATATACCTATGTTCCGGCCATTTTCGTGCGCCGCAATTTATTAGAAAAATTATCCCCATCCCAAATTAGGTTTACTCACAAAATTTGAGCCTATTCGTTCCGGTAGTTTCCGAGATAATTTTTTGAGGTTTGCAACTTTAGAGCCAAATTTAACTAGGAAAATAAACTTTTTAACATCTCAAAATAGTGCCACCCTACCAAAACAGGGTCGAAAAAACTACCAAGTTGTTCGGGTGACCCGCGGACGGCCTTTTAATTCAACCTTTTCAGCAAACCCCAGTTCGTGTGAGCAAGTGCGAGCAGGCTAGGAATCTGCGTCGAAAACTTGTCATCTCAGCATCAATGATTAAATAAAAACTTTATTCATTCGATACACGGCACTCCAATTACACGCATTGCGCAGCGTTTTGCTTCTTGGTGTTTTTCCAGACCGAACGGATCTCGGCTTCATCAGGCATGACGAATTGGGTCTTTTTCTCGGAAAAATACGCATGCAATGCCTACCATATACCTATGGATTATCCCTAAAAGGCGCAATTACATCGGAAACTAGGCGTAAAACCCAAAAGCGTGGTTTGAGTGTGGCGTGCTGTCGAGACCTAGCCAATGTAAGGATCGATTTGACGCTTCGGGTACTTTCGCAACATCGGGTGGATCGCTTTTTACCAGTATCCAATTTTTCCTAAATTTACTTATTGGTTTTTTACTAGAATTGACTCTAAAAACTTCATAAATTTTTAGAAAAAGCTACAAAAATACGAATGTTTCGTGGCAAATTTGAAAGTTTGGTACATTTTAAAGTCCTCGAAAAATAAAAAAATAAATAGCTGATCCGCTGAAATATGACTAATTTAATAAAAAACACTATTTGTAACTGTAAAAAGATTCAAAAGTGTTGTCAAAAATAACGAAGTAGCGTTTTCAGGTCAAATTGAAAATTTTTGCGTATTTTACCAGGTTTTCGCAATAGTTTTGCCGCCTGAAAGATGCCCAATTCATGCAAAATAAACTGATAAAAAATTTGTAGGAATTTCGGCGGAACTTATAGGAAAAATCCCACGTTCGGAAAACAAAAATAAAATAAAAAAAAAGAAGCTGTCCACCCGATAATGCGAAAGAACAGTCAGACAAAACACTGCCTATTGCAGGAAGACGGCCCCATTCGTGCAGCGACAAACGTCTCGGATCTGCTTCCTGTCGCCCGTCCAATGCCAGATGCCGACCTGAGGAGGAAGTGAAAACAACAAGGCCGGCCAGCACCCTAAAAACGGCTAATGGCCCAAAATACGCCCCGTACAAAGTGTAATTAGTCGCCTTGCGGACTCACCGACTCTCTAAAAACAAAACCATCTCATCCTCGATCTCCTTGTCCCCCCAGAAAGGTGTTGCTCCGTAAAAATGTGTGTGCGCTTCCACTCGCCTGCCTGTTCTTGGGAATAAATAAATTTTGCCCCGTTTCCCAGTTTTCGGGAACGCTAGGGCCGAAAGATGCACCAAAAAACCAACGTCCTCTAGAAAAGCATAAATAAATGCCGGGGAAATATTTAAAGAATAAAAGCCGAAATATCTAAATTAAAAAAATGTTAAGCCCGGAAAAATCGCTAAAGAAGGCCGAGTTCATCCTTCAGACCGGCAACTTCGCGATCCGATCCGATCCGATCCAAATCTGCCTAGCCATCTTGAAAAACAAACATTTCAAAATGTGAAATTAAAGTACCTGGTCGTTCTCGCGCTTGAGGCGGCTGATTTCGTCTCCCAGTTCCTGCTTCAAACGTTCGTTTTCGGCACTTCCGGCCGCCGCGAGGTCTTCCTAAAATAGAATGCATAGCAGGTCAAATACCGAGTGAAAGCCGAGAAAGAAAGCCGTTCAATTTCATACCATGAGGGCCATATAAGGTCGCATGCCCAGCATATCCGCTTCCAGTTTGGCAAATTTGAACTTGAAGTTCATCTAAAAAAAATACGATCCGACCTCAACTACTAGCATACCAATGTGGCTCTCAGGCGTGTATCCGCGCGTTCGTTTCGCGGCTGAAGAGCTTCTGTGTTTTCTTCGAATGATTTCTTCTCGTTGTTGTCTCCGAGCTCGATGAGATTTCGATCTAAAAATTAATAATAAAATAAACATTTGAACGTACCAATCGGGAGATTTTGCTCCATCTGCTGCTCGATAGGGTCCACTGCCTCCACGACGCCCTCGTCCATGTCAATTTCTAAAATCAAATGAAAAAAAATTCAAATTTAAAGAAAATTTGAGAGACAAATTTTGAGATGAATAAAGACTGGAAAAAAGCATGCTGTTGAGAAAGGAACATACCAACAGTATATGATTCTCCATCCCGCAAATATCTGATTCAGAAGATCGAAAATGTCCAGAAAAGATTTACCTTTCATGCCTACTCTAAACTTTGCCCATGGTGTCCCGTCAATCCGTAGGAAGAGAGGCTAACATTTTTTGAAATCCCCACCCTCGAAACACGCCGAAACCAAAATGACCTCGTCCTGTGCTATCGAATATTTTCCAGCAGAGCTATCCACTCAAATTCCTTAAACTTGCCACGCGACCATCTAGGAGTTCCCACAGATTTCAGCTCGCTAGATTTAACAGCGTAGGAGATACCCCTATGTTTTCACCACGCATCGTAAAACTATGGAATTCACTTCCGCCACCTCTCCTCTTAAACCCTGCGACCAGCGCGAAACGCTCTAGGAAAAGTCTTGAAACCCTTCCCGCTAGCCCATAATCTCTCCTAAGCAAAAACCCTATTATCACCGTCCCTCGTCTTTCACCCATTTTTTTCCTCTTTACGTTGCAAAATTTTTTTATCCAGCATTTTTCGCCTGCGTTATATGACCCGGTTAAATAAACCATTCATATAAATCGCGACCCAAAATGCGACGCGATTTGGTGCTGAAATCATTTTTTGAAGGCATGCGGTCAATTTTTGGCTGAAAATCGTCAACTATTGCCAGCTAGGGCCTTTACTTGCGTAGATTCGGACAGTATAATATTATCAAAATGGGCGTTTCAGGTCATTTTCTGAACTGACTCATTCTGTAGTTCTCCATTCACACTTCTACATTTGATACAATTCTCTAGCAAACTACCTTATAAAGCCAACCAGTGGAAAAAGACAGCTTCGCGGCCGTTTTCCACTGGCCCCATTTAGGAGCCATATATCCCCCTTCCGTTTTTCAAAGCCTGCGGCGCAAGGGCCTGACTCTAGGAACCATTCTCTGGGTGCGGGGCTTTTTTTTTTCTTCATTTTTTGGGCCCAAGCCCGGCCAAGGACCTTCTTTGGCCTGCGGCGCTAGAGCGAGGGACTGGCCGAAATTTCGGATACCGAGAGCCTCGAAATATGTTTTGTTGTTGAACTATCAAAAAGCAAAAAGGCACATGCGCCGAGGATCCGAACCCTCGACTATGCGCACGGTGGAGCGGGCGCCAAGCCACTATACCAAGAGCCCATGGGGACGGGTGGCGGGAAAGGCCCCTTTTGTTCTGGGGGCCGGGGTTCAACCCGACAGAGAGGACTTCTGATAATTTTACAAAAATCGCTATTTTAGACTGAATGCGCCAAAACTTTGTAAAGATAATAAGATGCGCGTGATCCCCACTATCGAATACATAAGTAGTCCAAATTACAGACCGAAATTCCATCTGGGCATTGAGTTATGCCCCGAACACCACGGCTCGTCGCCCATTTTGTTAAGGATTTTCACCATTTTGTTTGTAAAATCGTTAAATCAAGGAATTTCGGAAAACAAAAAAAAATGCGTGTCTGACAAATGTGTTTCTCCATCTCCATGCCAAAAATCAGCCGGAAATTCGGCCTGACGGCCGAGAAATCGGCTGCACAGAAAACACACATACTTTTCTCGCTTATAGGATAGGATAGTATTCGAAGCTACATATTAGCGGTTTGAACCAGGAATAGACTCGCTTTTTGAATCAGAATAGTATCTTTTCCTTCGCGCAACCCGTTAGCGGCAGATTGAATATAGCGATAGGACATAAACCTAGAGGTAATAGGTTCAACTGACAGGCCCTTTGGACACGAATACGCAGGAATACAACTGCCGAAGACAGACCGCGCGCCCCCAGGGCGCCGCCAAAAGAATTCGCCCCTTCTCCCAATTTTTGTCTCCTAGAGTATAGTCATAAATTCCCATTCATCTTTTGGCCTAAATCTTACTTTTTTCCTTGCCCTTCTAATGCTTTTAAATTTTTCTGTAAATCCCTTGGTTTATTGTTACGTTTACTTTTCTAATTGTCCTGGGTTTTCTATTAAAAACTCTTCAATTCGTAACCGGGGTTCGGCTTTACCAATTAGGATTTTCGAGTGTGTGGAGTTTTTAACCCCGATCTTCTTGATCTGCCATTTGCTGGATTTGCCTCTGTTCAAATGTGTGTTCTTCGTCTAGGATCTACCCTCTCAAAAGGGGTAGACATCCCAACTAATTCGTTTCCCTTAGATCATTCCTCTAATCAGCTGAAAGATATGAATTCTAAGATGTTTCCAATAGTTTAGTTGATTACATTCTTCTTTAAGCAATTTGATTTATAACTTATTGCTCTCTGAAGTTACCTATATTTTCTTTACAGCGCTATGTCCGACCACAAGCCAATGACGCTGGAAGAAATGCAGGAAAACGTACGGGCTTACATGGCTTCACAAAAACTCGGTAGTTTGCTAAAATAAAATGATTCTTTTGTTTAGACCCGGTCGACACCAGCAGGTTCACCGGCCGTCCGAGTGACTACAAGCCTTTACAAGGCGAGGTGAGCTTTAATTTGTTGATTTTGTATTTTAGTCTTTATGAAATGTATGAAAAAATTTGTCTTTTTAGCACCTGATTTCGCTCATCGAAAAGCAAGAAGCCAAGAAGCAGGAGCACCCGGATGCGATGGCCGACGAAGCCCTTGATCTGGAATCCAAGACAGCTCTGGCCCCGCCAAAGGTCGTCACTTCGGTGGACCCGGAGGAGGAGGCGAATGAAGACCAATTCCCGTCAGTGGTTCTTTTTTGCTATCAGAATGTTCAAATTCTGTTTATTTTCGTTCGAAAGATTGCTTCTGCGCTGGGGTTGACTTCTTAGATATAATAGGATATTTTAGTTGTTCGGAACTTCATATTGATCCCGTTTAGAAACAATTGAAATTCGGATTTGGGAAAGAATAACTCATCCTTGAATATTCACGATCACGTAGCTACGAATGATGCTGCTAACTCTGGTTAGAAGGCAAGAATTCGCCCCTTTCCCGGAGAGAGACCGATTTTTTTTCTCCTTATTTTTGTCTCCTAGAGTGGTAATCAATTCTCATTCATCTTTTGGTCTAAACCTTACGTCTTCCCTTGCCCTTCTAATGCTTTTACATTTCTTTTCTGTAAATCCCGAGGTTTACTGTTACGTTTACTTTTCTAACTGTCCTGAGTTTTCTTTTAAAAACTCTTCGATTCCTAACCAGGGTTCGGCTTTACTAATTAGGGTTTTCGAGCGGTTTGCCGAGTTTTTCCCTCCCAAAAGTGTTGGACATCCCAACTATTCGTTGCCCTTAGATCATTCCTCTAATCAGCTGAAAGATATGAATTTTAAGATGATTCCAATAGTTTAGTTGATTACATTCTTCTTTAAGCAATTTGATTTATAACTTATTGCTCGCTGAAGTTACATATATTTACTTTACAGCGCTAGCTTCGACGACGAGCCACTGACGCCGAAAGAAATGCTGGAAAACATACGGGCTTACATGGCTGCACAGGAGCTCGGTAGTTTGCTAAAATAAAATGGATTCTATTTTTTTTTTAGACCCGGTCGACACCAGCATGTTCACCGGACGCCCGAGCGACTACAAGCCATTGGACGGCGAGGTGAGCTTTAATTTGTTTATTTTTTATTTTAGTTTTTGTGAAATGTATCAAAAATTTATCGTTTTAGCACCTGCTTTCACTCCTCGACAACCTGGACGCCAAGAAGCAGGAGCACCCGGATGCGATGGCCGACGAAGCCTTTGATCTGGAAACCAAGACAGCTTTGGCCCCGCCAGAGGTCGTCACTTCGGTGGACCCGGAGGCAGAGGCGAAGGGAGACCAAGCCCCGTCAGTGGTTTAGTTATCAGAATGTTCGAATTCTGCTTGTTTTCATTGTTGATGCGCTAGGGTTGACCCCTTAGATCTATTAGGTTGTTTTAGTTGTTAAGAACTTTATTGTTATGTTTGGTATAAACAATTGAGATTCGGATTTGGGAAAGAATAACTCATCCTTGAATATTCACGGTCAGGAAGCTGAGAATGTTAACTCTGGTTAGAAAGCGGCTTCCCTTGTCTGCATTAAGTTTTCTCGGGTTCAAAGAGCAAATTCCCGGGCACTCGCTCTTATCGTTACAGCAAATCTCCAAATTGGGAGCCACACTTTCAAAAGAAACTTTATAATGGTAACTGACAAGTAACTTACACTAACCCTTCTATAAATTTAAAATTGACCCTATCCTTAATTTTCATGGGCTTTCCTAGTCAGGCTGATTTCTTTTAGCTCACCGCTGTCAAGAGCAGGGTAAACAAGTCGCGTGTTTTCAACTTCTCCTGCATTGTCCAGAACCCCACCCAGCTCATTTTCGGTCAACCAGATGCATTTCCGAGGTTATCCGGCGTTTGTTTATTCGACCAATCATCCCAAATGCTAGACAAGATGCTAATTCCCTGAAGGCACAGCTTCAACCTAACGGATATAGTACATACAGCCACACCTTCGGTATACAGCGATAACGAACAACGCCCCGGTGCTCGGTTTGTATGTATATCGATTCGGCCCTTGGCTCTGTCTGTGCGTGTGCTGCTTTTGCCCAGATTTGCCCGGGCACCCGACCTATTTGAATAGCCACCCAACAAGGTCTGCGCGTATTTCGCTACCAAGCTTTTGATTTCCTGCTACTAATTGCTTTACCATCGAAAATAGCAAAGAATATAGTCTATCAACTTTAAGTTTAGCTCAATAAGATTTCTCCTGATGATGGACAAAGCTAGGCGTTCGGAGAATGCGGTTTTTAAAGGTTGCCATGGATGCGCTAAATGCATTTCCGCAAACAGGATCCCATTTCCTGGCGCGGCATGAGAAGAAGTCCGATAAATTTTGGATCGAGCTGTCAAAATTGTCTTGTTGGGCAGTTGAATTTCGATAAAAATAGCACGCGTAATTTTTGGCTTGGTTTAGGCGGTTTTAGGTTTTGAATTCGGAAAACGACCATCCCTCATTTCTATGGCTAAACGGCGCCATTTAATTTTTAGCAAACGGCAACGACGGCCCCTACCGAGTGGCATTCATTTTTCAACTATATTTACAGTCGCTCACTTTTTGACCGTCTCCTGAGCCACTGCTTCTTTCAATAACACTTTCCACCACAGCCTCTTATTGATTCCTCACTTTTGACCAAGTCGTATACAGATGATGACTCAGTTTTCTCTAGCATATGCGGAACGCGGGCCCGGTGTGCCGCATTGCATTCCTTCTCACCGACCCATGTGTCGCTAGCAGGGGTGTTCATCGCGTCCCCGGTCCAAAACTTGCGAAGCCTCTATCTCGGCGGGCAAAGCACCTAGCGGGATGAAAATTTGTGAAGTTGTAGAGTAAAGGGAGAGGAACGCCCTCACAAAATTTGAAAGTCGTAGCGGCATGTAGAAGCCCGGTGACGTAGGGGGACGCAGGGGACGGGGGACAGGCCTGTCACCCGTCCCCTGCGTCACCCTGCGTCCCCGTGCGTCCCTTAGCCGCTACCGCCTTGAAATTTTGCGTGAACGTTCTTCTCCCTTTGCTCTACAACTCCACAATTTTTCATCCCGCTAGGTACTTTGCCCGCCGAGATAGAGACTTCGAAAGTTTTGGCCCGGGGACGCGATGAACAACCTTGGTCGCTAGTCGTTTTTCGCCATTTCTAACCGATAGCCATCTCCCATCGCAACCACTGTTCCCAATTCGTCAATGACGTAAATTAGTGTTGCACCTTGTCGTTACGTTCTATAGTTTTTGGGTTAGTTTTTAACAATTACGTGTCAGGCGGTAATTTTGGCTAAACAAAGCGTTAATTTTCCGAATAGAAGGCGTGAGTTATTTCGTATAGTTGATAGGTTTCACAATCGCCGTTTTTCTACCCCTCTAATGCAATTGCCCAGCCTCGCAGTGTTGGGTTTTGACTCATTCCTCCGCGCGCGCTGTTTACCCGACGTCGATAGATTCAATTCGTCGTCACAAACAACCCTTCTCCCGGTTGGGCCTCGGTGAATATTCCTTTTTTCTGTCCCCAGCCCGCGGGCCACTCGCATCAGAAAGACAATTCCCTGAGGCTGCGGCGACCTCTGGCCCGGGTGCCTATCGATTGTCGCTTTTTTTTGAAATCTTGCTTTCTTCTGTTTTCTGTCGACTCAACTAACAAATCGTTTTAGCGTCGACGCTCAGTCGTCTCCAAACTTGAAGGCAATGGCTGAGGGAAAGGATGCTGAAGCGATGCAGCTGGAAGAAGTGAAACCCGTCGTTGATGAAAGCAAGGTTCATTTTTCTATGTTTATTTTAGGCGGTTGCCGGTGTTAAGTGATATAGTCATTCGATAGAACACCAAGTTCTGAATAGGATCCATGCTCCACAGATTGCTAGGCAGTAGCGCTATTCGAGATAAAATTACTCAAAGTAGCACTCTGTTAAGCAGGAAACCAAAATGGGCAAACGCACCCCTTTCGACGCAAATTTTCGCGAAAATCGCTATCGTTGATCAATGTTCGAAAGCTGAAACTTTAATTTTAAGCGCTGTCGAATGAGCTACATCACATCACAAAAATTCCGGTGTCACCTAAGCACGAGGCCTTGCTAAGACAAAATAGATTTTTTGTGGTTGCGAATAGAAATGAGAAAAATCATGCGGCTAAAAGTTATCGTGGTCGCGGGTATTTTTGAGGCCGACCTGCCACTTCGAGAACAGTTGTCCGAAACCCCCAGCACATGGCCATTCAAAAGAAAAAAGCGCCCTCCGCTGAAAGCACGAGCATTGCCCCCACAATCAGTAGTCAAAAGAAGCATTCGCCGGCCTATTTCTAACGCATTTCCATTCCTGCGATGAGCATTGATTTTCAGGAAGAGAATCCCTACAAGGCATGCGAAAGACAGGCTTCGATTAAGGTATAATTTGCAATTTTTCTGCTTATTTGTTTTTAGAGCCTGAAGGAAGGCAAAGAAGAGGAGGAAGATGTTATGCAGTTGAGGTATGGTATTTTTCTGATTCCGAGATTTTTTTGCTGATGTACCGATGAATTGTTATTCTTTAGGGTGTACCGTCGACGCTGGTTGATTTTGCTGATCGTCGCTTTGTTGAACAACACGAACACAATCTCCTGGATCGCCTACGCCCCTGTATCGAATCACGTCAACACGTTCTTTGGTGGACCATGGGCCGGCCGGTAAGACAGTTTCAGATTTCCACGAGTTTTCAGTTTCTCACTCGTCTACATGGCGGTTACGATTCCGGTTGGTTTCGTGGCGATGTACCTCAGCGGTCGTCTCGGTCTTCGCTCGGCTATCCTGATCGCTGGTGAGCGTAGTTATATATGCAAAATATTGCGCCCTTTATCAATGATTAACATCTAAAATGTTTTTTTTTAGGATGGGCCAACGGTATCGGCGCGTTCATCCGTTTTGCGGCTTCCTTCCTGGCTAACCCTTCGCGCGTCTATGTTGCACTGATTGGCCAGGGAATCGCCGCCATCGCCTATCCGTTCATCATGTTCTTGCCAACGAAGGTAGTTTTTTTCTAAAATATGTTTTCTGGAACGTTTTCGAAGGAAATTACCCCGTTTTCGGTGTGTTATCTAACTGCTTTCAGGTTGCTGGTGCGTGGTTCCCCGACACCGAGCGTGGATTGGCGACGACAATTGGCGTGATGGCTAACCCACTCGGCGTCTTCCTTCCCAGCCTTATTTCACCGGCAATGGTTTGTAGTCTATTTTCAGCCTTATCACCCTGATTTCCAGGTCACTCAAGCCAGCCATGTCGTCTACCTCAATGCCTTCACCTTCTTTCCTTCCATCGGCGCCGCGATTCTGGCGACGTTGTTTGTCAACCGATCAGAGCCGAAGATTCCTCCAACCTTTTCCGCAGCCCAGAAGCCTATGGATTTCGTGTCGGGTGAGGAACATTTGCTATTAATTTTTGAAAAGCTGCACTGTGTCAGTGTACTGATAGAGTAGAGCGTTTCCTATCGGTCTATGGCTGAAAATTTCCATTTTAGGAATGAAGGCTTGTTTCACAAACGGTCCCTATCTGGTCCTTCTTTTCGTGATGAGCGGTGGTATTGGCATGTTTAACTGCTTGTACACTGTCCTGTCCGAACTGCTATGTCCATCTGGCTACAGGTATGATGTTTTTATATAGGTTAAAGATACTTTGATTTCAGCAATACGTTTGCCGGCATTTGCTCCGCACTAATGATCGTCGGTGGTCTGGTTGGAGCAACCTGCTCTGGTAAATTGGTCATCGTTTTTCAATCGAATTTTTAGGAATCATCGTTGATCGCACAAAGCGTTATGCGGAGACGATTAAGATTGCGATGGGCGTGGCTGTAATTTTTGGACTGATCTTCTTGCAGGTGTGTTTAACCTCTTTCTCATTTGTATAACTTTTAATTTCTCATCTACAAATTTTCATTTTAGTTAACCTTGCGCGCCGACCTGAAGCTATGGATCATCCCGACGGTGCTCGCTTTCGGCATTATGGGACTGGCCACTTACCCTGTTGGACTACAGCCTCGTCTGAATGCACTTATCCAGTTTCTGAAGAGACCTCGACTGGGCTCATCGTTCTTGTTGGACAGGTATAATGAATTATTACTGCTCCAATTATTACAATTTTAGGTTCAATCGATCATCTACGTCATGATGATGCGTAAGCTGTACCGCCCGCTAGGCGTCGATAGGGAGAATGTTCAGGTGTGTTTTCGATCAGATTGAGAAGACAGATTTGCTTAATGCGGGTTCTAGCACACCAGTAAAAGTTACTAGCTTTTTCTCTGTATAATAATCTCTTTGCAGGTTTGCCGCACCAGCGCCACTGATTTGGACAACGTCCCTAACGACGCTACGATCTCGATCATGGTCTTTTCGGTTGGTTTAGTTTTACTGCCTTTCTTTCCTCAAGGAGATTGAGTACTAAACTTTCATTTTAGGCCGTCGCCTTTGTGCTCGCCGTTGTCCTTATTGCTTTCTTCCGCCCCATCTACCGCCGTATGGAGGCCGAGAACACGAATCGCGCTCGTGGAGACAAGGTGAGCCTCTTGTCTTTTCCCACCCTGCTTTTTGCGGTGCAGGATGACTTTTAACATAAGCTGTAAGTTGCGGTGGTGTGAAACTCTTGCTTGTATCTCCTATCCCCATAGAGTAGTCTTTTTTGCCCCGCATTCGATTTTTAATGCTTGGAAATTACGAAGTTTTTGTGTCCTTTTCGCAAACAACCTCGATTTTTCAGGAGAAGGAGCTTGCTCTGGAAGAGAAGAAAATCCACTCACTGCCGGACGAGAACACAGTCGTCAAGCCGCTCAAGGAATAATTTTTGCTCTTTGAATATCGACGCGTCTCTCGTTCTTTCCAAAATTTACCAAAATTTATCTTTTTATTTTTGTTTCATGGACCATTCTAATGCTTATACGGGAAATAAAATTCCTTTGGTCTCTTCTCCCGTAGAACCACGATTTCATTCAGGGTATCAAAGGGCCGTTTTCGTTATTGAATAAATTTTTTTATTTGTAAAAAATTACTTCCATATTCGGACTGACCAACAGATGGCTTCGAAGATGCAATTTGATCAATTGTTTTACAAGATTTATTCAAAGGAGTGAATTAGTGAAAACAAGGTTAGAAGGGTCGTAGCATTTTTGGAAAGTAATACTGACCGACTTTTTCGAAAATGCGCTGATTTGATCCTTCTCCCCCGACAACTCGGATACAATATGACTCGAGCATATGAAAACTATTAGGCGCTTCCAAAGCGTAAATTTAACGAGAGAAAGATTAGACAAAGAAAAAATGCGGCATCCATTGTTAATCTCGAAGAATCAAGGGGCAGGCGATAGATTATGGAATGGAAACAGCAAAGTGAGTGGAGCGGTAGAGAATGGGGGAAAGGCTTCTGCTTAATCAGCTCAAAAGCAATAGATCGGAGGAGGAACAAAATTTTTCCGAGAAGGGGCTAAAGGAAAAAAACGTGAAGAATTCGGAAAATACATTGGAAAAATGGCTAATGGGGGAAGAGGCGCTGGCTTATAAAGGGAATTGCAGGCTATTTCCTAGGGACTCCTAGGAGAACGAAAAGATGACACTATTCCCTTAATTTCGGCCGCGAAATGATCACCGAAAACACGTGAAGGCATATCAGACACATAAAAAGAACACATGAAAGTCATTGAAAGTCGGTCTTTTCGGGATCGACCACGAGCAATGTATTGCGAATAGGACTCTATTCGTCTTCATGGAATGTCGGAAGTATGTAGACAATGAATAAAATCAAAACGAACGGTTGAAATCAATACTGAACGGGATTAGCGGCAGGTGAACATGTTCTGCTTCGCGACTTCGGTCTCTCTCTCTCTCTTTTTTTTTCTTTCTCTATCTCCCGTTCTATCCATGGTGTTCTTGAATCCGCACCGGATAAGGTTATATCAGAAGGATGCGACATTTCCAATACTAGGCGATTGCGACTAGGCCAAAGGAGTTTGCTGATACTTCCAAATAACGGTCTCCCGAAAAATCAAATTCCCGAAATGTGGGTTCAGAAAATTTGACTACCGATTTTTAAGCTTCCGGCTCCTTTAAATACCTCAAGCGTCTGTCTATAGTTTCGCAATTCATATCTTCGGGAATCTAATTTTTCGGGAAACGGGCTTATGGGAACCCGATTTTCGGGATTATCATCGGAAATTTGTGAAACAATCATAATTTAAAGAATCGGAAAGTACAAAGCGGCAGAAAAAAAGCGCAAGTTCAGCTTTCCATCTTAGTGCAAACAATGCTGCAACATTTTTCGAAGAGTTTTTCGGGAAAGCTAAACCTGCCAGGACAAAACCACAGAAATGATTGACTAAATCGCTTAAGGCACCGATCTAGGACAACCACAGTAAATTCGGAAAAAATCCGAGGGTTATTGTCGATTTTAGGCCAGATTTTAGCTAAGAAACAAAGGGCTTGACCGAATTATGAATTTGGGGAGCATTGCTACCAAGGGTCTAGCGAATACTATGTCATCGGAATAATTTATAAAATTGAAACTTTGGTTCTGGTTGGCTAGCGGGGGTGAAGTTTATCGAGGGAGCAATTTTTGTAAGTAGTTTCTCTTTAATAAATTACATTATTTCGAGCTGCATATTAAACTCTTTGTTTATATATTTCTGATGTTCTATTCAATAGCGTTAACAGAATATCGAAAAATATCGGAATTCCCGAAAAATAGCTTACCAACCCCATTTTTCAAAATTTTTTTGCCTTTCTTACAACTTTCTTAAGTCACAGTGTTTAATCGAAAATTAAAATAATAATGTATTTTATGATGTCCTACCGGGTCGCGATTCCCGAAAAACAGTTACCTATTGAAAACTCTACACATTAACCCCCCCCCGGATATACCCTGCTCCCGCTAACGAACCAGAACCAAACTTCTGACAAGGCTACGGTAGCGGCAAAAAAAAATCAGGCGGCGAATCGCAACCCTCAGGGTTTGCGTCATCTGCACATCTGGTCACTAAAATTCAATTTTCTTCGGTAGACCGGCGCGAATGAAAAAAGCTAAAGAAATCGAGAATTTAAAAAAACCTGGAACTGCTTGCATCCTATTCGTCCTCTTCGTCCGTGTCATTTCGGGGCCCTCTATAATAATTTCTTGAGAATTCAGGTCAAAATGACGAATAGTGAGATTTTTAGGTTATTTCAGGTCTAAGAAAACCTTGAGCTGATAAAAGTAGTTACTTCGGAATCGCTTGCCTTATGTGGTCCGCGGCAAAGTTGCTGCTGTTCCCTGTCGATGAAGAGACGTTACTAAAGAGAAATTGGTCTGATAAGGCTTGAGTTTTCTTTTGGCGTTGCGAAAAACCATACTTGAGTCCATTGAGGAATTCCTCCAGGCCATTCACCTGTTGAACGGCGTTGTTCATCAACGGCGGAAGCTGAGCACCACTCAAATTAAAAAGTTAAACGATAAGTTTTCACAAAAATTTAAATTTAATGTCGAAAATCGCTGACTTTGTAAAATTTTATATGTTCCCAGTCATCTCAAGGCCATTGCGCACCTAATGACGTATCATACGTACTTTAAAATTCATCCCCTAGCGAGATATGTATCTCCCGGACAGACAGACGGATAGAAACAGAGTGGCACACTCAAACACACAGCCCTTATTTTTTTATATATATATTAGGATAAAAATTTCTAGCTTAACGTTGTTTGATACAATTGACTGACTATTTTAGGAAAACCTACGCCAGAGGCCAAGCAGTCGGTGTAGGGTTGACAATTGAATTCGTCTCTGGCAGCGGGTTGTTTTGGTTGAAAGCGCTAAAACCGACGGTAAGTGGCTATTTTGTTCTGACAGGCGGACGAGATACTTATTTTATAGATACAGATGAACTTTTTGGCCAAACCTACCGCATCCACTGCGCCTGAGAGGCTGGCCACAAGCTGGGGTTGAAAGCGCTGAAAATTTTATTTAAAGAACCGCACTGAATTTTCTTGAGTCTTGAGTAAATTTTCGGGAACTATACCAAATCTGAAAAATATTTGCAAACGGCTTACGGTTGGCTACAGATCGGGAGAACCGTGGTGTACCCGGGCTGACCATCAATCATCGGAGGGGTGGCGCTGCTAAAAGTTCATAATGAATAATTGTTTAAAGCGTCCAAATGACAACTTACACGAGAAACTCGAGAACAATAAATGAACTTACCGCCATGGACATCGAGGCGCTGGAGTCGATACAGCAACGACATTTTGACTGTTATTGTTGGGCCGAGGATTGAGATTGAGCATTGAAAGGTGGGCCAACATGCGAGCAACCAGAATTTCTTCGCCGGTCGGGGCTGCTTGCTGCTGTACGAGGGGCTGCTGCTGTACTTGAACAGTTTGTGGTTGCTCCGGCTGCTCCTGAATTGGCTGCTGTTGAATTGGCTGCTGAGGAGTCAAGACTGGCATGGACTGATTCCCACGCTTCTGGCGCGATTTCGAATATGGATGGCTCGGAGGGGCGGGAAGTGTCCTCGGCCGTCGAAATGCTCCGTGACGGCCTGACGTCGACGAAGTACGACCCTGAATCTGTGGCGACAACCCCGGGTACGGTTGCTGAGGAGCAGCTAGCATCGAAGCGTAAGGAAGAGTAGGGGGCGCAGAGATAACGCTGTTCGGGCCGAAGGTGCGAAAGGGCTGGGGTTGCTGAGCAAGCATGGCAATTGTCGGAGCACCTAAGGCTGTCATCATATTGGGATTCGGGCCAATTTGCATTTGGTTCTGCATCAGTGCCGGCATTTGATGCGGAAAGAAGCCGGCAGCCATCGGTGGTGGAAGACGACCAGCCATTGGATTCGCGTACACTCCAGGGAGAAGAGGTGGCAGTAGTCCATTAGGGGCCAGCGGCATTTGTAGCTGTGGAGGGATTTGTCCGTACCATGAGTATCTTGCACTCATTGCATCGTTCCAGCCTTGCCCGTATCCACGATTCATATCTGGTGGTGGCTGTCCGTCGCGACTGAAATCAAAGGATTAAATAGTGTTCTCAAGGGTTCGTCTCAAGGGAAATAGTGTTCTCAAGTGTTCTCAACGTTATTTTTGCCTGATTTTCTATTCCTTACCGCCAGTTATTGCCGAAATTGTCATTGCGCTCCATGGCCGCCGACTTCTGGCCGTTCTTGTGCAAAAATAGTACGTCAAGTTCGACCAGCAAGCCTATAAAACCAAGATGTGATTGGAAGGACAAGGACCACTTAAAGATCTAATTTTAAGCTGGAAATAGGTAGAATAATGACTGCGCCAAATTCTAGTAAACAGAGGTTAAGTCAGGGTCAAATTCTGCAGTAAATTTAAGGTAAAAAAATCCATAGGGAAAAACACGGGGCGTGGTCTCTGTGGGGCGGAGTCGTTTCGGGAGAAGCCGTTTTAAAAACGCTGGGTTACGATCCAACATATATGCAAAAAGCGTAAAAATATGTATATATAAAATATTGCCGAAATAGATAAAGAGGGTATACAAAATTAAATGGGTAAGAGCGGCGGGACTCACTACACGGAAAGTAAAGGAACCCATGACTTTTACCCATTGGGTACTGAATGGACATTTAGGGTCAGGCTGATGCGTAGCTTAGGCCCGGACCTCGGCTAACGGGTCGATAATTTTTCATAGTAACTGTTGTCAACATTTTGAGCAGGGAACCGTTTGTAGCCACCACTAAAATTCAAAACAACTGCCCTGGGACAACGTTTTGAACCTAACACGCCTATGATCGCACGCTTGCTTCCCACAAATAGATCTGCATAGCATCCATATTTTGTTTAGTATTCAGGGCACCATGAGCAGAAGCTAGGGCGGCAAGACACCCGTCAGAGTTTTTGTGAACTGGGTGGGGAATCCGAGGTGATGGCGGCCCTGGGATGAGCGAGATGTGAGGGGCTGGATGCAAATGAGCAAATGGAAACCGGGCTATGATGGTATCTATTGTGGGCGGGGGAGTGACTCACCCAATCGAGTCCCAGGGAGGGCCCAATGTTTTTCAGACAGTACAACCCGAGGCGAGCCGCCCAGAAGGAAGACAAAACAAAAATGAACCAGTCGGGTAGATTTTGAGATCTGATAGGCGGTGAACGGTTCTATCAGACCAACGCGCTTAGGAAACATTCTTAAAAATAAGGGGGACCTGGCTTTGAAGAGGCCATTTTCATCATAGTTCTCAGAAAAATTACATAATTACGGAAAAGAAAAGAGCATCAAAAACATCTCAAAACGTTTGAAATAAGGGCATAGGCCCCAGCCGTATGGACGACGGCCGTATTGGGACGGATCGATCAAGAGGGAAGGAATTTATTCAACGGTACAGTCAGCGGGCGGAGAGGGCCCAGCCAGGATAAAATGTGGATAACGGGGGAATCAAATCGAGAGCCATGGCATGCAATTCAAAACTAGGCGGCGAGTAGGAAGAAGAAACCTACAAGGTTACAAAGACAAGCGAAACGATGCGGTACCTTATCGAATACCCTGCACCCCAACCGCCTGAATTATTTCCAAACCCTGAGAGATTCCTAGCCTATTCGGGGTATAATAGAGGTCATTAATGTCGCGTTATCGATGGAAGTCGTGGAAGGCCCAAAATGCCGATCCTCTTCTTCCAATGTTTCACGATCCTCGGAGAGAAGCAGCCCGGGTGAGGGCGGGGTCAGCTTCAGCCTAACCAGAATCCGGGTCAACAGGTTGCGGCTTGTTGGCTTCTTAAACACAAAAATTCGACTTGTTTCCGGATTCGACACCTACCTTGCTTAGAGCGTGCGTCCCATCTTTTGGGGTGGAATCCGGGTCTTGATTTTCGGCGCCTGGAGTGCTTGCTTGCCTAAAATATCGATTTTATGTTCATTCTGAAAGCATCCTTTAGGTGACCGTTGGGTGTTAGTTCTACCTAGAAATTTTTGATGCGCGGTGTCCTTCCTCCTTCGGAAATATCGGTAGCCCATTGCGAATGGAAAAAGTACTGAAAGCACCGCGATTAGATTTTCAATAGCTCAGGGAACCAACCCAGAAGGACAACGGCGATGACCGCGATATGCTGGGCGATTGACCGGGGCTCTCCTATTTTGATCGGTGTCGCTAAAATTTAAAATTCTACCTTATATCGTTTTGGCGCGGACTTTCGTCTTTGTGTGTGTGGATGCCACTGTCAAGGCCCAATTTGGGCCCTGATGTGTATAAAATGCCCTAAAATTCTCCGTCACTACGGGAATCGACCCTCTTCTTTCCGATGGCGGTCTCGAAATTTCGATAAAATCTACTATATCTAAATTTCTAATGTCCGTACGCCCGCCGACCGGGAATTCAGCCAAATTTTGCATTCAAATTCCAAATTCAAATTGTGGGGGTGGGAGAAGGCCGGCGCTGAACACCCGCGTAGCGGCTGGTCAGCGCTGGTACAAGCTTAAAAAGGTAGAGCCGATTTTTGGGGTTCCGGGCGGGCTAATTTGCATAATGTGAAAAATACGCATTTCTTCTTTCTTGCGAATTGGTTCGGGGGGGGGGGGGTGGGAGCATCCGCAGGACCCAAAGCCAGCAGGCAAAGATCGCATCACAGCACGCAAGGCCCGCGAAGCGGGTTTTGGGCGCTGGGACCAGTCTAAGGCAGTGCCATAGCCTACATTTTCCAAATATACAGAGACTTGCTTACATGTTCTCCTCGCATGCTGTGTCCTGGGTGGAAAATGGGATCTCGGTCGCGACGACACCCTTTGGTGACCCTGTTGCATCGGGAGCCATTTCGTGCCCACCGCTAAAACCAGTACTAAAACACGAATATATCTTGAGCCTTAAATTGGAAGGCATTGAAAATTTTGGGGCAAAACACGAGCCGGTGAGTGGCCAGTTTCTGGCGATAAAAACAAAGTTTTAGACGTTTTTCGCGGATCAAGTGACGACCCTCCAGATGGAGGCCACCCAGTCTCATTACCGGGCGGGCAACTATTTTCATGGTCGGGGTCATCCAACACATTTACAAATCAGCTCTTATATAAACAAGCCCTTTGATCGGTTAGGTGAGGCCGAAAACGACAGGCCCATAAACGCCACATGTTTCAGGATGCTGGGGCGTTTCATGGCAATAGATGGGAAGGCAAATGTGCATATTTATGCGGTATCGGGAGATGGTATTTTTAATACTGGGTTTTAAGATTGTTGTTTTGACAAGTTTCAACGTGGATTTTGTTGCTAGTAAAGAGATGGACCGTTGTGGTCGTGTTTTGAACCCGATATATATTGGCAAAGTGCTCACATCACTCTTTTGAAAATTGAAGATAAAATTTAATGAGCTGTCTAACAATTGTGGGCAATCGTTGCGGTGCTAAACCTTACGGTATTGCCTAAACCAATGCACCAAAGAAATTCGCGAAAGCAATAAAAATAATCTAATAAAAACTAGTAAAATAAGAGCAAAATCATCAGAAATGAAGCGCCTCCTGAATGCCCAGATTGGTCGATATCTATGACTAGTCATTCAATTTCCATTTCCCCCCTCCGACCCCACCTGTTTATGTGAGGTGATTTTTTTATTTGCTGCCTCTTCTCCCGGCATAACAGGCCCTACGGCGACGATCTTTTTTTTTGTTGCGCAACCCGTGAGGAAAACATCGCAGCGAGAATGATTTTTTGCGATGAGCGTCGAGGTTCGAAAGCAATAAAAAGAATAAAGCTTTATTTGTTGCACGAAAATGAGGTCACGAGAGATAATATTATGGCAGTATGTGATATTGGTAAGAATCGAATGGGAACATGGTGATTTGAAAATTATACGGAGTTTAAGGACGGGTCAAAGTGGAACCTTTGTCCACAAGTTTCTTGAAAAATAGCACGGGACAGAAAGACCAGGGAGGGAGCGGCAGAATAGTCGGTTACTGCAGTAAAATTTATCTTATTTAGTGGAAGACGAGAAGGGGCTGGAAGGCTCCTCGGTGGTTGAGTTGCTACTGTAAAGATCCGATATTTCAACTTTGGAGTTCAATTTCTACCTATTTCCAACACGATACGGCCAGTAGACGAGGTGTGCGCCGCGGTAGGGAGGGGCGTGGGTCCGGGTCCTAAAAAAAATACGTGTACATAGTAGTGCTATTTGTACTACTATCACTTTATAGCACTAATTGCTGCTCTAACCTAAAGCCTTATTTTTCAATGCTTTAGAAAGCACAAAATTTCTAATTTCTTACGAGACATAGTGTCCAACAATTCGAGACTCCGAACAGTCCGGGGCCGCCCCGCCAAAGCGCTCATTCCCGGCACGACCATGTGTGTGATTCCTATAAGAAAAAAATCTAGACAGCAAAAAAAATTCTTGTTTCGAAAACTTGTAAAATATAAGCAGAGCCTAAAGCCAAGCGGGGCTCCCAACGTTTCGTTTCAATTTTATAGTGCCTGAAGCAGCCAATTGATGAAAATGAAACACCGCGTGTCGTCCAGAACTGCATTCTCTATCATAAACGTAATCACAAACAGTTTTCCGGATGACCAAAAACCGTTCCTTACTACATAATTGAAACCACCTACCAACTACCATTCACAGCACCATTCCCGCGCAGATTCCCCTCAGCGTCTCGAAGCGTTCCGTCAGCCGTCATTTCAGAGAAGAGAAGCGTACTGAGATTGCCGAAAAAAGGTCACCGATCTGAAAGGCGTGGCATAAACAAGTCGGATCGACATCAAAAACAGTTCGGCGGGGCAAAACATCTGGCAATGCCGGGAATGAGAGGCACCATGGCCAAGGTCCAACCGGAGGACTAGCTGCTACCAGTAATGCAAGGATAGTTCCGGATTCCAAAGATTTCGGAGAGAGAGAGAGACTGTTTGGATAGATGGGATGGGGGAAGCGGGAGGTTTCCTTGACAAAGACGATATGCCACCACATCGTGTTGCCTTCTCCGCACCGTCCCCCAGAGGTGTTGACGCAAAAAATATCTGCACTTTTGGGGGGTGCCAGGAAAAGCTCAGGGTCAGGGAAATAGTAAAGAAAAGCTTGAAAAATAAGCAATAGATCGAGAATTGAGTAGAACCAATTAGAATATCATAGTATTTCTTAAACACGTAGAAAAATACCGTAGAGAGGATTTGTAAAATTTGCGTGAAAGTGTGATTCGGTAGTTTCTAAAATCCCTCTAATAATGATAAGACCTCTAATAAACTGCTAAATCTTAGGAACCAGGCCCGCAAAAATAGCCCTAAGGTGACACATTGAGATACGTATCATTACGTAACCCTGTTCGTCTAATCCCGCAGAGGATAGATCGGCACTCAGATAAAATTCCTATTTTTTAAGCGTCTCGCTCTTTATCATCCACTTCCATCAATAACCCAAGTGTTTTGAGTTTGATGTTTTCATTTCCAGACTTTAATATTTATTGCAAAACAACGATTGAGGTTTGCACATTGAGGAATTGTGGGAAACCTGAAATGAGATGGATCGAAAATGGACAGGAAAGGGCAAGCTTTGGGAAATAGCGAAAAATAAGAAATTAAATAAAAAACTAGATATGGCTGGCAAGGACTTCAAGTTGCCCGATGAACTGCTTGAAGATGTCGATGGAGAGGTAGATGCGATCTTTAAACTCCAGAGCCTCGCGCACCTGGCCGAGCTCCTGGTGCATTACCTCCGGGAACAGCTGATCGTAGTTCGGGCTGAACTTTGGGGTTATTACTTATTAAGCTTGTGATACCTGAGATTCTCGGCATGCAGCCGCTCCATGATCTCGAGGGCCAAATCAACCGCCATTTTGCTCTTTCCAGCTATGGGGAGGGAATTGTAGGTGGCGAGATGTTCGTGTATGATCCGAAGGTTTTGTTCGGAGGTGGTACTAAATAAAGTTAGGGTTAGCATGGAGTAAAATTGATGAACAATAGAAGTACCTACCGAAATACATTCTGTAGTTCGGCCGGAAGAGGACGATCACGGTTTTGGTTTGGGCAGGAGAGACGCCGAAGTGGTGGGTGCGAACGTTGACGGGTCGGTGCCATAGGTTTGGCCGATGTACCGTGTTTGCCATCTCCTGTGGCGGCCGAGCTATCGGGGAAAGTGCCGAACAACTGGATGAGGTGCGTTTGTGCCCATTGGACATGGCCCTCTGGCGCCACACTCTTCAAAAAGGACGGGATCCGATCACCAGTTGTTGGGTTGGCCTCTACTTGGGTAACAACCTCCGTCGGTTGCAGCATTTACACTAAAAATCCTTGTAATTCTTCTTTAGCAATTGTAATATAGGAAACCCATCCCATGAAAGCAAACAATGAAAAGGGACTATGGCGTTCGTAGTGGCAGAGATTAATTGAGGTCCCTAATATTCTAATTTCCGCCCAACGCCGCAACTATGGCAATAACAGCGTCGATTCCGGTGTGGTCCGGTGTGGGTGTGGGACTCCGAAAGCCTTTGGTTTTTCACCCCGCCCCAAAAACCCGCCATCCAATCTAAACGAAAGCCTTGAGGCACAACGAGAAAAATTGGGAAAACGGTGAGGGGTTCGAAGGCGGATCAAGCAACTTGCGCATTATCCGAGCCTTCTCGGATTAACCCGCCCCGAGATTGAAAAACTGAATCCGTCCACTTTTTAACGGGAACCTGAATTAATCCAGAGACTCCGAGGATACATTTAGAAAGCGATGTAAGATTTCGGGTTGCTTGTCTTCCCGGGGTGAAATTTGGGCAGAGATGAAAATGTGGAAATGTCATCATTGGTTAAGAGCACCGCCAAAAGCTAAACCCAAAAATTTGGACGAGAGGCGATTATTCATTCGCCGTGTAAAATGCAACAGTTCGCGTATAAAAGGCTTTTGATAGGTTGATAAACCATTATTGGTCCTTCCAAAAATACATGATTCCATTGGCTCCAGGGATTAATAGACTTTTAACGTTTTAGCAGTTTCTGCCCGTGGAGATATAACTCTTATCGAACGAGTCTTTCAGATACCTTCTTCTTCCTCGCTTTGCCTGTTTCAGATTTTCCGAAAAACGACGAAGGGACCAGCAATATAGCAAAAAGCAGCACAACCAACATCTTTTGTTGGTCGATGATAACGTCGACGTTGCTGGTTAGTATACACATTTTCTATTTTATTATTTTTATTACCGATGCTATTTTTCCCGGGAGGGCTCTTTACGATGCGACGTATTTTTTAGATCAATTGTTGAATAAAATCTATTTCCATGAACCAGCATTAAGTCGAAAACTTCAAAGTGCGCGTGTAACCAGATATTGTCAAACACTTTCTTGAATTTAATTTGATAATGGCAGTATTTGTACGAGATTTTGGGTGGCGCAGCGAGATTTGCATGTGTCAACGCGCTGTCGAATATGCGACTGGGCCGCAAAATCCCACCCAGATGGCCCGAACTCCTCAAATGGGATCAACCATCGAGCATCCATTCAAGGACGCCCTTTGTTCTTGCCATTTCGCTACCCCAAAATGGCGCCCGTTACTAGCCAGTTATTCCAATCTGGTTCCTATTAAACGAACAAGGTTATTAATATTATTTTCCTTGACTCTCTTACACTAACGGATGTCCGAAAAAGTACTTCCTCTAGCGAATTGAGATGAATTCTCTCACGTTCGCACCCACTTTCCAAAAATTTATGCTTTCGCTCGAAATTAAAAGCGTATGCGTAAAAAAAAGAGTTTTTCAACGGGAGTCAGCACTTCACATGCAGATCTCGCCTAAATGGGCTTTTTTCATGGTTTTTGGTAGGAAGATTAATCCAAACTGTTTTGCTGCTTTGAAAATACTTTTTTGCCTTTCAATGTACGGAGCCCGAAATGAAGAAATCTCAGGCCAACTGGCAACGACCGACTCCGCTAAAACTTGGCATTGAGCGTGTTGATTAGGTGTTCCTTTGTGGTCAATCCGAGGCTATGCAGCCGTTGATTTCGCAGCAAGGCGCCACGCGCATGGAGAATACTCGTCCATCACCCATTTCCAGCCGACCTTGCGCTCCTTTTAAGCAGTTACCGCCTCCTTTATTCTACGTTTTTTGTTTCTTGCCAACAGTTTTTAACGGTATCTAATCATATATAATACTTACCAAGGCATTAAAAACTTCGTAGTTTGCGGAGTTAACCACGGATGTTCGCAACAATAAATGATTTTCGTATACCTTTAAAAATTTGAATGAAATCAAATTATTTTGAAGCTCTCACGCGCTTATACCCGAAATATCCTTTCATTAGAATACCCGTTACGGTCTCGGAAGTTGGATGCGAATTCATCCATACAAAACGATTTATTTTTACAGACGTATAGGATGATAGCTACTCCCGGTCATCCTAACCTTTTTTTGATCCTCACAATCCATCAGCCCAATCAAGCAGCTGGATATTCCCTCCCCCACCACCATGCCTGCGTCAATTCCGGCCTGAAGATTGACCATCGTTCCGGCCCATGGGTCCCCCCATTCGCCTCCCCTTATTTGCATGTGTCGGCTCAATTACCGAAAAGCAAAGAAGAAAGAACGATGGTGGTGGTGGGCAGAAAAAGTGGCTCGACCCAACCTCAAGTACAACCATCCATCCGTCGCGCCTCATCCTCCCCTGCCGCCTTTTTGCCTTCAAGTATTGAGGAGGAGGGGGGAGGTTGTGGGTGTTGTTGGGTTGGCGGTAGCCCATCGTGCCCGCTTCCAGGCTCAGATTTGACAAATGGGACCCAGTGGCCCAGGGGCGGCTCTTGGGCCATTGGCCCTAGTCTTCTTCTGGGGGTTGAACACCCATTCAGTTGCATTTTAAGCTTCATGAATGGGTTTTTGGTTTTTAGAATGGGTTTTGAGGGTTAGTCAGTTTTTATGGGCTCTGAAGCTTGGTTTTGTTTTATCTAGGTTTGGCGATTTGGTGTAATTTAGATCTGAACCGAGAGTTGGTAGCCGTTCATACGGTTAGGAGGTCTACCTAATTTTGGTAATTGAAGGATTTATCGAAAAGGCGAGCAAGGTCCTGGGATTAATTCACGTTTTTATTAAAAAGAAACCTAAAAAGAAACTTGCTTTTAGGAACGTTAGTAGCTAGCGCAAAAAAAATTGTTTTCGGTAACGTAAGCCTCTTATTTTTCGCCTTTTCGACAGTCCTCTAATTTTGTAAAATTCCTTCTTATCTGGGAGTCTGGCACCTGGCACACTTAACTTATTCCTTGTCTGGTTTGTCTTTAAATTCTCGTTTTCTATCCACCACCATTATTCATTTCCATACTTTTCTCGAAAACGCGCCACAAATCCTGGATTAGTGTGCTTGAGTGGCTTGCGGGTCGATGCGTTCCAGTCAGTTGGTGTCTATGTGAGCGGTGTCTACTATCAACCTCACCTACCCCTTTAATACCTTCCAGATGTCTTCCCCTACCCTCTTTGACCCATCCGGGGGTACGGCGGCTATCTTCCGACAATAAGTTTAGGGTGGCCATGAGAATGCGGTAGTTTCGATGAGACCCAAAGCCTTGCCGTCTGTCAGTTGCCAGACGGTCATGGGAGATGGATGATGGTTGGGGTATTGCCATATCCGAGTCTAGCTGGTATGTAGTATGTAACTAGCTAGGCTATAGCTGGTGAGAGAGTTTAGCTACCAAGAATTTTTGAGAATTTAGGCAGCAGTCTGCCAAGTTGTGTTACGTAGTCAACAATTTTTGCATGTCAATCATCAGATAAGCATCATTCGCATTTCCGCTTCCCAGTATTTCAAACAAGTTTTGCTTCCAAAATTCGGAAGTTTTAATAAGAACCGGAAGCCTACCCAAATCCTCAGATTGCTTTTAGTTTGATAAGCCGGGCCCCAGTCAACACCAATTTAAAAAAGTGCCTGACACCAAAAGCCAACGTTGACCTAAATTCTCGAAGATACTTCATAACGATTCTGACCCCCATGGGTTGCACAAGAAGCAAAAAGGAACAGATGAACACTTGCCATGTCATTTATTATCCTGACACCCCGTCGGCGGCCCCATTTCGAGGTGGAGGGGATTCGAACTGGGGAATGTCTAGAAGGGGCCCTCCTCCACCCTTCTGGTTGTCCCCCGCGGCCCATAAATCGAGCCCTCCCTATCCGGATCCCCGATCGGACATGAGCCCTACCCTCCTGCTCCTGCGCAAATTCTCTCTACCCCCCTCTGCCGAGAACATCCTCCCAGCGACCTACACGACTTTTTGTGAGACTGTGAAATGAAGAGAGTTTCCAACCCGGGGCCGTTCGCAGTGGCCGATGGTAATCGCCGTCCTCCCGCACTTCTCTAAAACAACAAGCCGGCTCCCAGAGCATTTCCTCCGTTCGCGCGCTCGGTGCATTTGAGGAATTTGAGAGTTGGTTGAATGGTGTCGTAGCTAGGGTTGCACCAGGACGGAGAATGTCTATAAGCCCCACGCTATTATAAGACCCGCACTGTTAGAATCCCACTTTCAGAGTGTTTAATAAAAACAGAAGACCATTTATTTGAACCTTGAAGCTTGCGAAAACCACGGAAAATTGTTTTTAGGACTCAAAAAATGCTGATACGGGTTCCTGCTTTTGACGTCCTGTAATAATTAGGCCTTTAGGCAGCCTAAGGTAACAAAACCGATGGAGTTGGTCAAAATTGAACAATGTGCTCCAAATTGCTGATGCTCCTTTGTGGATCACAATAAGACACAAATTTTGGCAAAAATAAACTCGAAAGGTGACGAAAAACTTAGAAAACAATTTCTTCAGCCGCCGCCGAACGCTTTTTATTACTACCCGATTTTGCTATTGCAACCTTCCGAGCGTTGACCTCAAAACACCAAGATATCCAAGTCCACCCAAACCCGTCAGCTCCAATTAGCCAAAAAAATCCGTGTCCCCCTCACCGCTGTCATATCTTATAAATGTTTCGAGGCTTCAAAGCGGCTGATCGAACAACCCGAATTAAGAACTTCCTAATGGCTGGTCAGCGGCCGGGCTCTGAGATGGCAGAAAAAGTATGGGAAAGGGGGAATTGGACGGATGAAGTGCGGTCGGAAATAGCTGCAAGAACCCCATAAATTGTCGCATCTATCTGATATATGGGGATACTCTCGAGACTTGTGTGGTGGGGGAATGGAAAGATATTGGGGGGAGGACAGGGGCGAGAATCACCTAATTCTTCGCCATTCCCAGTCCAGGCCATAGCTACAATCACGATATTCACTGAGGTTTTGGATTGGCCATCATGGCAAATCTGCATAAACCACCTAGGCATCCGAATGTAAGTTGTGATTCTTTGCGGGTGTTTTGACAACGAATTTATACTTTTTTATAATTTCAAAGCTCGAAAACAGGCGAGAAAATCAGCTAGTTGCTTCCAGAAAGTTATATATATTTTGCCAGCTATTAAGCGTTTTTTAGAAACCACTTTCTCACAGAAAATCAGCAATTAAAATCCAGATTTGATTTAGAAAAGGCGTTTTTACGGTTTTCGGACATTTTCGGACAGTTTTCGGACGGTTTCAACATTAGGAAACTTTCAAGTATAATGTTTGAATAAGTGTTTCCCCGACGTAAACTTCTGTCAAAATCCAGAAAAGCTCTGCATAGAACTGTTATCATTTCCATGCAGGAAATCAGTGTTTTACTGGATGGGGGGCGCTAAGCGCTCGGCTCCTCCCTTCTGCTTATCACAACCACCCGGTCGTCCCCTCCCTAAAAGTCGATACCAAAAACGTCAATCCAATTTAATGAGTCACAATGCAAATTTTTGTTATTTTTAGGAGTAGTTCCACTTTTCCCTAGTTTTAATAAACATTTTTCCAACTTATCAATCGATCTTAATTTATTTTTTCTATCATTTTCAAAAATTAGAATCCTACGGTATTTTTCGGAGGTACAAATTGAGTGGTTGAGTAGGAGGAGGAGAAGGAGATGGTGGATTGTGGATTTGTGAGCCCTCCCGCATCTCATCTCCCACCTCAAAGCTGCCGCCCCGTCCAGCCTGATTCATTCTATTTCCATCTGGCAGCACAGGGCAGCGGTCATCTCCCGCCCCAACGACCGCCGTGGAATTAATATTCGTTTTTTTGTTGTGAAGGAAGACACGGGGCTTGAGAGCATAAGTTAATTCAAATTAGGTTATTTTTGTTTCCGAGGTTTAGAAGCATCTACAGTAGGTGTCGAGGAGGGTGGCGCGTGCCAAATATTCCCACGGTAGTCCGCAGCGAGCTGGTCGTAAAATAACTTTGTCGGACGGCTAGCTTCCCAGATTTTATTGAAAGCTAGGCGAAAGTTTTTGACAATGATGATGTGTAGATATTACCATCACACAATTTTGCTATTTTTGCTTTATTGTTTACTTGCCTTCCTCTTTGATACTTGCAATTTTAATCTTAATTAGTTTTCGAATCGGACTGAACTTGATGGAATTTCCTTGAGTAGCCAGGTTATGCCGTTCTCGGCACCGCTACGTTGGATGTCCCGATCTTCGATGTAGCCTAAAGATAGGCCTTCCTGTCTCGGCTTTCCAGCCTTCCCCAAAAGGACTACCCATTGATCCATTTCCCGCATTTTGGCTAATCCTGTTTCTAAGAATTAATTATTTCTTGCTGGCAAGCTTGAGTGCCTTTCAAAAATTAAAAGTTGTCCCCACAATATTAAAATTTAGTTATATAATGTTTTCCTTATTTGATGGTTAAGTTGATAAGTCTGAATGCTTTTTGAAAATAAAGTATCATTACGGCCCCGCAGATCATACTAGATTTAGTTTTGCGTTATTTAATGACACGATCAGTTAAGCTTAAGCCAAACGCTATGCCTAAACCTAAGCGTAATCCCAAGCGTAAGCCTATGAACACGGCAAGCAATAAATCCACTTAAACAGTCGTAGTTTATTCAACCTAATTTTTCCATGGACAAAAATCTGGTAAATTGTGTATAAGATCGATTGTTTTGAGTCATTCCATCGGGTTTTCTCGATTAGTTTGTATCTAATATACTCATACTACTAGGGCAAAACAGAAAGTAAGAAAGTGAACCCTTATTGCATCTTTTCAAATCTATTACCCATTCAAACCGTATTCCTAGATCGGAGGCGTCTATCCAAGAACAGACGGCATCTGCCGCATTCCCAACACATAATCCAAGAAATACAGCGCGTATTTTATTAAAAACCACCCGGCGATTTGCGGTGCCGCCAGCTGGGTTTGTGGCGGGCGAATGGCAAGAAAAGGATGGGGGAATGTATGTCTGTATAGATAGAAAGACAGTTCCATTTTGCCCCATATGGTTGACTTGGGGGCGCGCGCCAAATTCCGTCAGTACCGACGAAAAAGGCATAAATTGTCCATTTGGGTCATCAATCTGCCCTTGGAAATGGACTGTTGCTCCCATCGCTGGTTTATATTCGCATAGTGACTGTTTTGGTGAAAATATTCCTGAAAAGACAATTATTGGTTTTGTTCATTTCGGTTTTTTCTTAAAATATTGTAAAGATATGTTTATTATTTTTTATAAGTATCTGTTAGTATATTAAGTATTATTTTTCAACGAGATAAATATTGATGGGGGTAACCTTAAATATCAGTTTCGGACGGTCCTATAAAGGAACTAGCAACCTTCGTTTAACTGGATATAATAAATTTTGAATTTCGTGCATTGGCTTTAATTTCATTTAAATTAAGTAGTTTATCTTTTTTCTTAGAAATCCGGCTATTAGTTTACCCTTAGTTTAAAGAATTTGATAAATATTGGTGAATTTTAATCTATCCTTCAAAGGCCGTATAAAAAATTGGTAGAAAGTATTGCGTTTAAGTTCTACCAAATAAAGATTGAATTCAATATCTTCCCGTAACCATCCCTTCAGGAGTCGCACTTTTATAGCGTCTCCAACCCATTCCCGAACATCCATGCCCCCCCGTTCCTTCGTGATGATGGGTTGTTGTGATAGCTGAAATTAGCCTAGACGCTCAGACAGAGAAAGAGGGCCCCAATAACCTCCCTAGGTCCCAGGGATCAGAGGTAGAGCTACATAGAGAGCGAGGGAGATAGAGCGAAAGCGAGAGATAGAAAGGCCCAACAGGCAGCCGAATGCGCCTCTCGCTCTCACAGCCACACATTACAATGCCTTTCCGGCAAAAGAGCACCACCTTCTCTTCGGTTTGTACTTCATTCTCGACCCGGACACATCGGGGCTTCTCGTCCACCTGTTCGGCACCTTTTTCGACAAAGCCCCCCAGATCATGGACTACCGAATTTTGTTGCACAACAAGCTGTCAATGTATATTTAATGGAATCTTTGCTACCGACAGAATTTAATACACCGATTTAGGTTAGGTATTGAATTCAGAGGAAATTTCTTAGGGAAACTAGGCGATCAAATAAAACTAATAGTTTTCGGCCCGGGTTTCATTCTCGCCTTTTAATAATATTATTACTATTGTTTAATCCCTGTCTCTTTCTATATCTTATCATCGATTACCTCTTTCGTTATTACGTTATACCCCCAGGCAACCCTTTTCCACCATATCCCTATATCATTAGTGCACCGGCCCACAGCTGTCAACTATTCTCAAAATTCCCACTTGTAATTTACACACTTTAAATCCCTTTTCCTACCGCTTCACGTTATAAAATGGTAATTTCCACATTTAATGCCCAAATCCCATTCTATTTTTGACCATTCATTTGCACGGCGCCTAGCTGTAATCAAACCGGAAAGGCATCCGCCCACGCCCCGGAAAGCCATAACCTGCATCGCAGGGAAGGCCCTATCTGTGCTATCAATAAACACTTTGCCAGTTCGAGACTCTGAAATGATGGAGTGGCTTTGAGATCGTTCCCCAAAAACAATTGGCAATGCATTCGTGATTTGGGATTCTTTAGGAAACTATTCTTTAAATAGCAGACCTTTGTTTAGGTTGAAAATTGTTTAATTAATTTATTTTATTTTAAAAAAAACTAGGTACACTTTATATGTATATTTTTAAACTTTAGGGTCGTCTACGAGCTCAAGGAAGTGGTAGTAGCCTGACGTCCGGTCGGTATATTGGGATGCACCACCAATCGCCGGTAAGTTGTTACACTGTAAAGTGAAGTATAGTTTTTGCGGAAATTTTTTACGTAAAAATTATTATAAATAATTTTAATATAAAATTAAGCAAGATTTTCAGGGCGTCAGTGGTGACCAATATGGCTATGGGAGCAGTCTTCCACCAGTGTCGACGCTTGAGCCGCAAATACCACCAAGCCCGGCGGAATTTGGTGAGTATTTTAATTTCATACAAATCGTTGCTATGGAATATAGCTTCTTTAAGATTTTAAGATTTTCTTTGAGATCATATCTAGCGAATTTTTGCCAATTCCCCTTGCAAAAATGGTCTAAAAATATCTCTAAAAGAGCTTTTCGAGGCCATCCCCCACCCATAGATCCATTCGTGTCACCGCCCCTTTAAAATAATCTTGCGATTATTTTAATCACGTCCTACAAAAACCTTTTCCAGGCCATCCTTCATCTGTAGATCCATACAACAATATGGAAATCGAAGACGAACGCGGCACCTCATCTTCTTATCGACCTACCATGAACAGCCCAAATACCCAATCGACCCACCCAATAGCCAATAGTCCATTGTCAATCCAGGTAACCTAAAATTCTAACTTTACTTCAAAATTTTAGCAACTACAAACGTTTACTCAAAATCATTCCCTCCAAAATGTTGTAAGAATAACCGCGCCCAGGGGCTAACTTTTAATTTTTTGATATTTTGAATGATTTCTAACGGGATATTGGTGCGGAAGCGCTCTGACATTCAATAAAACTATAGGGAACCTTTTTAGACAAGCTTCTCCCCTCAAATGGGATCGATGGCACAGTTCAAAGTCAGTCAATGGCAGAATAAGAATTTTGACAGCGGCGTGCAGACGATGAACCATAGCCAGGTAAAATATGCACAAATTTTTGGCGAGATCGTTGATTTTTAGGTGCCTTCGGTGATGTCAATGGCTTCATTGAATGCCCCATCAATGATGTCAGGAGTTTCGTCGATGGCTGATGAATTAGCCCGCACCGAATTGACTGATCAGCAACAACAGCGATTCGAGAATTTGCCACTTGGCTATCGTCAAGATTCTTCAAAGGCTTTATCAGCCATGCCATCGTTAATTCAACTAATGAAAGACACGGATGAGGTAATAATATATCCTTAAACTTGTATTTTAACTCCGATAATTGTATTCACCAAATCGTATCCCCACTCAAATCGGTAAATTTTATCAAGATTCTTATTCCCGTTTTATTAGACTCTATTAAAATTTCCAAATTTTTGTTTGTTAAACAGTATGCATCTATTTTGCTTGCATTTTTACTTTTTAAGCGCTTAAATTCGCTTCGAACGTAATTCATATGCGAGAGATTTATAGATTTTTAATAATTATAAGCATAATCAAGATTATTTGATTCTAATAAAACGACTCTAGTTCGAGTTAAACGTTTATATTATTAAAATACCCGTGCAGGTAACCACTTTATTCAGGTAGTCGTGCTCAAAGCCGTCGGAATAGTGCAGAACATTGCAAGACAAGACGATAATGAGCGCCGTGTACCGCCCGTCATCCAGGGCCCCGAGGTCCCGGAAGTACTCCGTGAAGTTATGGTACGATGGAGAAGTAAACAGGTAGAAAAACTGAAATAGACCCCAATTTCTTAGTTCAGAAAATCGTTCGAACGTGTCTTTGTACGCTGTTCCATCTCTGCGGTCGAAGCCAAGACCAGGAAGCGCTGCGACATGTTATTCGGATTTCCGAGGAACAGAATTGGGCGCTGCTCACCGATTTGATTGCTTTTATCGGCCAGGAGGAGAATTCCTGCTGGAGATATGCCACACTGATCCTGCACAGCATTGTCTCCGAAAAAAATGTTGGCATCGAGGCTTTGATACAAGCTAGAAAGTGAGTGGATATTTTCATCGATACCATCAAGAACCATTTCTTTCCAGACTAGGTGCTCTTCGGGCGTTGGCTTCAAAGCTGGTGCCAAATCACAGTGAAAAACTACTTTCCGTAGTTGTTGAACTTTGTCGGTTAGTGGTCGACAAAGATTTGGAATCGAAGGTAAGCTTGGAAAATACGACAATAGGCAGCTTCTTCAATTTTAGCATAACTTCCTGGAGCTTGGCGGTATTCCAAAGCTCCTCCGCATGCTCAGCTCCTGCCAATATGAGAACCTCTTCTGGCGGACGACTCAATTATTAAATTATTTTTCCAACTATGTAAGTTTTCGAAAGCCTGCGAACCTTCCCTTTAGGATCCGGGTTCATTGGTCGGCTGTGGTGCGCATAAAATCTTATGTAGAATGTTATTACACGGGTCACCGCGGGTATTGAATAGTGCGCTCGAATGCTTAAGGAATATAAGGTAAAAATCCAAATTTAACCGAAATAAAGCTATTTTTTAGTGATGTTGCGTGCGAAGACGTTGATTGTCTACCACTTCTCGAGACGCTTTTGCGATTCCTTGGAAACGATAACTTAAAGATAGTTTTGTATGGAGTGCAGATTATTGGGAACATGTGCGCGAATAATAAGCTCAGAAAGGTATAATTTATTTGATGTTTTGTAAGTGATCGATTTCTAGGAACATCTAGTCCAGATGAATGCGGTTAATCTTTTGCTACGTCAACTGTGCATGCCATCGAACCATCCGCCATTGGAAGAAGAATGTCATGTAAGCGATTTTAAAATTTTGAATCTTGAAACATCCAAATTTTTAGTGCGAAGTTCTTGACCTGCTCCGATCATTAAGCTTGGGACACGAAAAAGTGCAAGACGTTCAAGTGATGTTGTTTGAAAATCCGGATATATACCTTCAAAAACTTGCCCAATTGCGACCAGCTGTTTTGAAGAAAACTCTACAAGTAAACATAATTTTGAATTCCAAATTGTTTTTTCAGGTGTTGATCCATGCAGCAAAAAACGACGCAAACTTGCCAAAGTTCATCAATGTTCGGCAATACCAATACCCGAATCGTCAACCGATCACGTTTGTCTCGCTGATCATCTACGTACTGCACATCTCTTGCAAGCAATACCCAGAGGTACTTAATGAACGATATTATAACACTTATTTCAGAACAAGATTGTTGAAAACGTCTCCCTCCCGGACTTGATTCACTATGCGATGGCGACTCTTCAACAACTCGCCAGGGACAAACATTTATTAAATGAGGTATTTAACATTATTTTAGCCTTTACGAAGCTTGGGTTTAAGATCTGTACCTACCTTGCCATGCCAAAGCACCAGATCTCGAACGTCATTTTGCCGGTATACGTTCTAGTCCAACAATTCCGGGAGGAACCTATTATCCGAAGTGCTCTCGGACTCCATACTTATCTCGTCACCTTACCAGAGGTATGTTACTAAATCATTAAACGAATCTGCTGCTATTTTTAGATGGCAACACTCCTTGCATTGAATCCACACTTTGTCAAGGTCGTTTCTCAACACAAACAAAGTCAAAATCAAGCGATTGGTAAGTTATGGCTTGGCTTTTCATGATTTTTTGTTTAGAAACGTATGCTTCACGAGTCCTTTCATTGATCCAAGGAACCGAATACCGTATGCAACTCGAAGAACCGAAAACAAGCCGTCCGCAGAGGTATCTAGAATTTACCTTAACTATTTCTCTGGTAGACGACACGGTTCTCCGATTCGACCGCTTGATTCTTTGCAACAATATGTGGCCAGTCATCAAGCATCACCACCACCTGGACCTAGTCATGAGGTTTGCTGCTGAATTCGAGATTGAAAAGGTTATTTACAGCAACTCGCCGACTACGGTCTTAGTCCTCTTACGGAAACGCCACGACGAGCGGCTGGACCGGAAATGGGTACTATGGAAAATTTGAGCAACGACAACTGGCCTGATGTAAGGAATACGAAAAAGACTGTTTATTGGATTTTAGGACCTGAACGACGTTCATGATACGTTGAATCCATTTGTAAACGTTTTCTGTGGAAATGAACAACCGGCTGCATATCAACGTAAGTTTCAAGCTTGATTTAGAACAAAATTATCCTCTACTAATCTTAGAACAAACCGCTATTTAAATTTTTTGTTAAATAATATTTTAACGCTAAATACAGTTAAATTTGAATCCAAGTTTTAAATTTTGCCAGGGGTATTACCATTTTCCTAATTATTATTTTTTCGGCTTAGCAGGTTTTTACTTGAGGGTTTATGCCAACAAATAACGGTATTGTATACACATTTTAGCACCCGACATCCCCTACTACCCTCAACAACCCATGGACACTGGCGGTGGCCCTGATATTGGCCATCCACCCCTAGCACACCCTCATTATTATCAAAGACCACTACCATCACCCCATAGCACCTACATTCCACAACATCGACAAATGGAACACTATGACCCGGCATATTATGATTATCGAACAGCAAGTATTGGTCGTGAATACCGTAGAACCCAGCCCCAACCCCGACCTCCCAACTATCCCTATCCCCAACATTATCCTGAACCAAAGCATATGTATTATGAGAATGATCATTATCCTCCGTATTGAGTTTACGCTTCAGTCATATTATTACCGGTGATATGTAATAAATATGTGCAAGTTTGGGGGTGGAAATCCTGCAAAATAGATGGCTAAAAAGACAAAAAAATTAAAGCGCTGCGTTAGAGAGGTAAGTTTGCTTTGCTTTAAAATTAGAGATTTTACGCATATAGACGGGATTACTTTAAAAGGTTTGTTCATAATTCGTCATGGCCAGGGTTGGTCACAAAGGATCCGGTCCGCGGACGGTCCCGGTCCGGCCGGTCCGGAGGCCCGGAGTGGATCCGGGGGACCAGGACCGGACCGGCCGGTCCGGTCTGAACCAAAAAGGAAGGGACAGGGGCCGGGAGATATTGGAAAATTTTGTATGCAAAATACTACTCGCGAAGAATTTGACATATTTTTCCACATCTAGGCTACTAGCCGTCGGTATACAGCCAAATAAAAGGAGAGGGGGGAATAATTTAAACATTTTTAATTAAGCGAAACCTATCTTGCTTCATTTTTAGGTGCCCCCCCTTTTGCATCCTTAATATTTTGTGTTTCTTTTTTTCCCGCCCAGCCCACCCCCCCCGCCACGCGACGGGAGGGCACGGTCCGGTCCGGCGCCGGTCCGAGGAGGGCCCGGCCGGATGGGACCGACCGACCCGGACGGACCGGCCCCGGACCGGGACCAGCGTGACCAATACCACCGGTCATGGCGACATTCCATGGTGTTGAATGTCACAACGTTAAAGTTACGAAAAAATTTCAAGGAAAAATCCCAAATTAGTATGCTAAAAATTACGACATGTTAAAATCTTGGCATTATGAAATTTCGATATTCGGATTATTTGGCTAGTTAGTGCTAGTGCTAGTGCTATGAAAAGTCGGCAACTTAAATGTTTTTTTCTCCAACGCTGTGCAGCTTAATTGGCCTGTTATTCCGACGTCTCGTCTCAGCTAACCTAAAATTCTTTTTAAGACTAATGAAAATTAACGCAATTTTAGCTAAAAATTACATATCCATATAAATTTGACTAACCTATAAAAAATATTTATTTCCTGTCTCTCTCTCTCTCTCTCTCTTCTCTCTTTAGCTGTCAGGTTTTCTCGGGACTTGCGAATACTTCCCCAGAGAGTTCAACGGATTTACAGCGTCGTCTTCTCCCTTTTTAAACCCGTATTTCCAGCCGGTTAAGCCATAAATTGGGCATGGTGAGGGGGGAGGACCCTATGGTCAACTGGGTAAGCAGGTGGTGTGTAGACCTCTGGCCTCTCCGAATATCGATCGGTCAAGTCCCAATTGCTCAGAGGACCCCCTACCCCTTGACCTCTCGAACGATACACTCTTTCTCCTTACACTACAATTATTTCCATATTTTTACGATACTAAAATACAGTCCAACCGAAATTTCATATAGTTCCGATTCCCGGTGCTGTCGATAGGAGCGTACTGATTACTCACCCTCTCAAATCTGGCTGACTGTTTCCATTACAGTCATTCGGATTGTTACAAAAACCGCGATTTTTAACCAAAAAGTCCCCTGGTTTTTCTTGTTTACCTATTCGGGTTTTTTGGTCGACCGATGTTCCGTGGTGTCAGCTGTCCCTCCCTATTGGCCACCCCCAACCATCGGGAGCTACCCGAAAAAGCCACTGCCTCGGAATGACGCAGCCATGTTTTTGAAATTTCTCATCGCTGTGTTGGGGCGATTCGTCGAATCGATTCCTTTTTGACTACCTCATAGATATTTACTATTAAACGCAGCAAAACCGAATTTCCTTTGGGTTTCTCGGCCATTTATAATATTGCTTGACTCACACGATGAGCTTCTTTAATGTTATTATCCTTCCTATAACGTCTTTAAATTAGTTTTTCTTGGTTTTCTAAAGCTCCTCGATCCTATATCAGTAGAAATGTGGTAGACTATGGATAGTTTACGATGTAGATGTAGAGTATTAAAGGGATTTAAAAGCCAGATTGGTTGATTTTCTTCGACCATATTTTGACTCGTTAGTTTACCGCTGCATGATGTAGAGTCTAGCCAAACTAAATTTCAGCATAATCATTTTTATAAGGTATGCACCAATTTGTCTTTTCCCGAGAAGTCCAGTCACTTGATCGTTGCTTTCCTAGTCCCTCAAATCTGCGCTTCATAACGGATACTAAATATTTGACCCTTGACATAACAATTTTTCGCTATTTGCTTGAAATCCGGATCGTCTAGGTTCACGTGTCTCCATCTGGTTTCGATATCGTCATCCTTGTTCCCCGCACGTGCATACCCCCTCCTTACTGCCGATGAGTCATAATTAATGGAGGCCTACAAACAAAATTCTTTGTACAATAACAGGTCCATTTGAAAAACCAACCCGTAAAAATACAAAAGATTATTTGCCATCTTCGTCCTTTAACTCAAATTTAATATAAATAGCTTCTCGCGCTTACAAAATCCCCTACTTTTTGACAAGGGCTGCCTAGGGTGCGGATCTTAGACCCGTATGGGGTGTAATGAATAATGTAAATCTCAATCTGCGGACCAGCGCCCCCAAACATCGCCCACCACATGCTGGCTCCCACTTTATCTTTGCCCAAACAACGATGCCTTGTTGCTGGCCGCGCGCTAAAAATGATGATCAGCTCAACACTGAGGAGCTGGTGCTCGATTTGAGATCTAGTATTGAGCAAGGGCTGGCTAGTGTAAGTCATTGGTGTTTTCGTGCTGTTTGAAATTTTTAGTTTCTTGCTTTGATGATTGGTTGAAATGGGTTTTTCCGAAATATATATTTTTCTTTTAGCGGAGTATGGATAGTGCTCAGCTAGGCCCCCTTGTGGAGCGTTTTGAGAAGGCGGTCACGCGTTTGGAGGCTTTGTCATCGTCGAAGCCGGTGGCGCCGCCGAAGCCCGCTGCTCTGGCAGGTATTGTTTATAAATTTTTCAATTATCAGGATATATCTAGTTAAGCTAGGAAAATAGTTAAATCTCCATCGATCCCATGTGTCTCTTTCTCAAAATAATTAGATAACGCTGTATCCCTTCCGCCAACCGGCCACACTAGCAAAAACCAATAACCCTATTCAATACCTAAACCTAAATCCTTTTTTGGCAAAACCTAACCTATTACACCATGAAATTTAGTCTAAATCCGCTATGTGTAAATGCGTCCGGACATAGTTTCCGGGGTCAAAAACAATTCCGTCAGTTTCTACGTTCCGCCCTCCACCAACCCCCATCTACGCCAAAGTTTTTATTACGATTCCCCTCGTCATCGTGGCGAGTCAAATGGAATTCGGTGGGCCCCCGCCATTATTGTGCTTCGCCACCCCAAAACAAAGAGCAACCGAGGGGGGACGGTGAGGTGGTCGATTCACCAGCCACCACCAGCTGCTTCTGGAAATGTCGTCTACTGATACGGCATCAACTCCAAAGAAGAAATCTCGCACTTCGAAGATTGCATCATTCGTCCGAGTCCAGATACAGCACTTCAAGAAATCGAAGAATTATGACGTTTCTGCGGCTAGTTCGGGCAATGCTACCGTGACTGTGCATATTGTCAATGGTAATTTTTTTGAACTGTATTCTCTTTAGTATACGCCCTTTATTACAACTTCCTTTCTACTCAAAAAATAGCTATATCGAAAATATAAGGCCGCGGTTTTGCAAAGATCTTGGAAAAAAGTGTTTGATGATTCAGAGGAAGTGACTAAAAGTCTTGTTATGAGTTTTCGTAGCTGGAAAAACCGATGGAAATCGTTGAAAGCAGAGAATTTTATCCATTTCGGACAAACGAAAAATAATCTAAATCCAACGTACATGTAAATGGCGAATTATAGCTTATTAAAGGAGACAGGAAAGCCCGGATAAATTAGGGATAAAGTCGGTTTTAACTTCAAAATTAGCATAACTCGTCTCTGCTCCGTCTCGCCTAGGCCCAGGCTCTACCCCGTATTTTGCATTAGCATTTCCAGGTTGGCTACTTGCCAATTGTAGATGGGCCCTGATCTACGTGGGCCTTCCTTATACCGTTAAGAAAGTAGAGGTCCTAGCTTACAATAAAGAAACTATGATACCTGATTTACATTAAAAGGAGCTTGCAACCACGCCTTGGACTCTCCGCCTATTCCTCCCTATCCAAATCTCTCCCCTCCACACTCGTAAACGAACCAAAATTATCGTTCCCCCAAAGATTGGGTGCTAAAGACGAAGCCGAAGAGAACATCTACTCGTTTCAACATCGTACACAGCGTATGGCCCCGGACTAGCCAGAGACCCTCCGGCCGTCCATCCCACACAGCTGTCGGCAATCTGTTGTGAACTGCTTGCGAGCCAGATCTTGGACCTCTGACTGCCCCTCCACACCTTGTTTCTTCCCCCTCCCTTCCTTTTTTATACCGGTCTCCCTCCCCGCACGACACATGTCCCACTTTTTTTTACTGGTTACCGGATCGCTGAAAACCTCTAATGAGTTGTCAAAACATTTGCGCGTTTATGGGTTTTGAATTAGCGGCGAGGGCGGGTGATGGTATTGCGCAATCAATTGGGTTATTAAATTTTTTTTGGCTGCTAAACTTATTAATAAATTGGCTTGGCTTTTCCATTAAACCGGTTGTAAATTCAAATTTTTTTTTGTTTTTATTTGAGATTTTGTTATCAAAAGTAGCCATGTGAAAATAGTTCACGCTAAAGGTTTACGTTACTATAATTTCGTGAAATTCGGTGCGATAAAAAAAATCGAAATTGCGGAAACCTTCTCGCGTAGATTTTTGAGAACTTAAGCTTTCTTCAGATTCCAGTTTCCCATTTGATTTTCAAACTCTCCGTGAGTTTTAGGCATGCCCAAAAGTTGAGCTGAACTTGGTGGACACGATGGAGCGCACGATTTATACCCCAAGGCCGTTCTCCCGATTCCCTCGTAGCTACCGTTCCCTAACATATGTCGAATCCCGACCCTTAAATGGATACGGTAGCCTGAATGCCCTAAATACGGGAGAATTGGACGACGAACTAGCATCACTAGCCTCGAGTACCCGATCCGAGTTGGTCACCTCAGCTGCAGGGGGCTTCTTTTCGGGCCGTGGCCCTCCTTCCGGGTCTACTTTACTCGACAGGGCCAGCCGCCATCCCGTTCACTCACCAACTGGGGGCCCCTCCTCCCCTCGAACCTTCGATCAATTCTCTGTCGATAGTCAACTATCGTCTCGGGCTCAATCTCCTCAGAACATGAGCCGTCATCCACCTACATCTGGTCGTGTCTATTTCCCTGGTGATTCCTTTCGGCAGGGTATTGCCAGCCCTGATCGATACCATTCGAATAGCTATGACTATGACCCACCTGGATCCCCTTTGGCTACCCGGGAAGAGGACTTTCTACAACGCCTAAAACAACAACGACTTCAGGCTGAGTCGCTTGTTGCTCCTTATCAATCAGCTAGCTATCATGAATCGGTACCAAATCGTCCGATTCAAATTCAGCGCGCTTTCCCTGCCAACCAATCTTATCACGAAGATTTTGATCCATGGGAATACAAAGCTAATGAAATTCATTCACCCATTCCCTCACAGCTAGATGATGGATCCACCCTTGAAAGAGCTTACAACCGTGCCTTGCACAAAACCCGTTCTGACTCTTACGTATTTCAAGATCTCGGCAATTCTGTTAATTTTGGGCGACACCCTGCTAGGGCCAATATTCAAAACCAATCAGCCAGACACTTTCCATCAGCTAATGATAATTATTTCGGCCAATCACAAGTGCAACAACCTGTCCAAGCTAGGACTGTCCCGATTCGGATAAGTGTCCCAGAAAACAACAACAACTATGGAAATAACCAGGCACAAGCCCTAATTTCCCCGGTACACCAAAATTTCCATAACGACTTCGCGCATCAGCAATTTCGACAAGAGCCTAGTTATCACCATGAGAACAGAATGTTCCATTCGACGCCGCAGCTGAATTTTACACCTAATCGTCAGTTCGAGCGGAATGCATTTTCTCCACCTCCGATTGGGTCAAGATATAACGACTACCATAGGCAAGAATGGGTGCGATCTCCGGAGCCTGTAAATCTTCCACCACCGATTCCACCACCTCCAGTCAACTATATTGGGCCGCAGGTTCCGATCCATCATGCTCAGAATCAACCCGACCGGACAAATGGATACTCTGAAATGGTATCCTTCCCAGCTTCCAATGATCAATCACCAACCATTCGGCATCCACCTGTTATTGCTCGAAATCTTCAGCCCGTTCTCCCAGCTGATTTCCAGCGCGTATATAATTTGCCAGCTCCTCCTGAAGACCCTTTACCACAACAAGTAGAAGGGCCACAACGAAATCGAGCTGTACCGTTGGGGACTGTTACCGAACTTGGGTATTACAACAATAAATCTGGTCAGCAACCGCCTGCGTTAAACAGCAGTCTGAACCGATCATTCGCAATCGTGTCGCGTCCCTTCTCTCCTCAAGCTACAATCGTACAACCGGTACAACCAATTCAACCTGTACTTGAAAAGCCGATAGTTCACAACTCAATCGTCAAACTATCCCCGTCTATCAGCAATGCTTATTATGAATCGGCACAAATACCAAATGAGATTCCACGCCGTGAAGCTGCTCCTCCAATGCCGAAGGCTCTTTCTTCACCAACAGAAGAAAGAATACGTTCACCGGCACAAATGTCAGCTTCACCCATTGGATCTGTATACGATAATCAAGAAGCAGAGATGAGGGCCAGAAATCTTGCTCGCCAGCATTATCGATCACCATCCCCGCCTTGGAAACAGGGTCGTGCTCCCAGACCACATAGCATTCTCGTTAAGGGGAATAAGCTGGAGGGCAATAAGGCTAGCAAAAAAGTGGTCTTTGATGTTGACGACAGTGATGAAGAATCGATTCGACAAAATCAGTTGAAGCAGGCTGATGCGGAACTTGCTATTTATCATTCGGATGGAACAAATGGTTACCGGGGTATGGTGGAGGTGCTATGGGAAAACTAACTCAAAACTAATTGTAGCAACAAAGAAGCTTTTAGCGGTTTTAATCCATAAATTATAGGTGATTCCGGAAGCGCTGGTTCGGATTCCGGTGAGCCGAAGCATGTGCAAGATTACGATGAGGCCATCTCCGAGAATCTGCACAAGTTCGTCACCGTTTCATCGGTGATCGGCGGAGATCTGGCTGCCGTGGTGCGTTGTTACAAACTATGATAATTCTCTTTCTGTGGGAATCAACCAATAAAGGTTTTTAGGCAAATGCCTATAAAGGATTGTTCGATCGCCAGCGCGAGTTTCTATTCTTTGCCGCACGCAACAAGGAGCTGGACGCGGCCGGCATCGACAAGTCGATCCCCATGCAGAAACTTATTGTTGGTTTCTTCACTAGTTACTAATTTGAATTTCAATTTAGCAAGCCGTCCAAGAAATCCACGGGCTCAAGGATAAGAATCGCAACAATGATCTCGTCAACCACTTTAATGCTCTCGCTGAGGCTAGCGCTGCGGTCGGATGGGTCAAGGAGGTACCATTTTTAATTATAGCGAAATTATACCGTCTCGAAGCTCATGGACAACCTCATTACTGCATTTCAGAAGCCCAAGCCGGCCCCGTTGGTTAAGGAAATCCTGGAAGCCGCGAAGTTCTACACGAACCGCATTCGCCTCGCCTACAAGGTAGATAACCCCAAACCAATTACATTAATTTTTCAATTCCAGAAAACGAACGAAAACCACATCGAATGGGTGAATGCCCTTGAGGGTCTGATGACTAACCTTAATGAATTCATCCGGAAGGTGCACACGACCGGACTTGTTTGGAATTCGGCCCCGGTAACCTTAAAATTAATATGTTAGTTGTGCTTTATAGGGACCTTACACGCCACCAGCATCGACCGCCCCGACGGCTTCGGCTTCTGCTCATCCACCTGTCCCTGGTGGCCCTCCACCTCCGCCACCGCCGCCAATGCCTACCGGTGGGCACTTGAGGCAAAATTTAGACTCTTATTGCTAGAATATCCACTTTATCGATTATTTCAGACCTCTTTGCCCCGGCCGCCAGCACTGGTGATGCCGAGCGCACGAAGCGCGATGCTTTGTTTGCGGCGCTGAATCAGGGAGAGGGCATCACGTCCAGCCTCAGGAAGGTCACATCCGATATGCAGACCCACAAGAATCCCGAACTTCGCGCGACTGTATGTGCTTCTACCTAGACAAATATCTTTTGCTTTAGAGCACCGTGCCCGCCAAGAATGCGCCTCCCCCGGTTCCGGGTGGACCGGCGGCTCGACCAGCCCCTGCTGTCCAGAAGCCGCCTAAGATGGAGCTCCAGGATGGCAAGCAATGGAATGTGGTAAGCCATTCAAATGAAGTTGATTTATTGAATTTCTGAGTCGTACAGACTTTAGAAATTATTCAAATGTTTTAGGAATACTACAAGGGTACCTCCGAGCCAGTGGTTGTCAACGTGACGGACAAAAAACAGACCGTCTACGTCTTCAAGTGTGAAAATGCTACGATCAAGTATGGGCTCAATTTTTTTTTTATATGAATAATCATCTAGGGTGGCCGGCAAATGCAACTCAGTGACACTGGATCAGTGTAAGAAGGTGGCCATCGTGTTCGACGCCATTGTGGCCCAGGTCGAGACCATCAATTGTCAATCGCTGCAAATCCAGGTTAGAAGAAAGTGTTAATAAATAAAGATAAGTTTTTAGACGATGGGTGAGATGCCGACGGTTTCGGTGCAGAAGACTGATGGATGCCAGATCTATTTGTCGGAGGCGTCGAAGGGTGCCGAGATCGTCACTTCAAAGGTAAGCTTCGAACCCTTAATACAGTTTTAGTTACTAAGTTTCAAATGGCCACTGAAAATTCATCCATTTTTATTTTCAGAGCTCCGAAATGAACGTTCTGGTCCCTGGTCCCGATGGCGATTTCATCGAGCTCCCCGTCCCCGAGCAGTTCAAGACCGTCTTCCAAAACGGAAAGCTTGTCACCACCGTCTCCGATATTTGCTAATTTATCTGCTTTGCTTCTGAATCAACCATATTGCCTTCCCCCCTATTTAAGCCTTCTTTAGAGTGCCCGGGTAAAAAGATCGTGCATGAATTTCAAAATCTGGTCGATGGTGCGCAGCCTTACTTTCTCTGATTGCTCGGCTCAAGCTTTAGCTCTTCGCTTATTTATGAAATATACATTATAAACCGTTTCACTAGTTGTATTGAAAAATTTATTTACAATTTACACAGAATTGGCGAATCAATGGGTTTCAGAAAAATTAGAAGTGTTCGATTATCCTTCCTTGAGTGCGAGTTTCGCGAATGATAGGGACGTTGGTGGAGTTCTAAAATTATGAATTAGCTTAGCTTCCGGTTACTCAATCGTTAAATACACTAATTATTAGTAGTTATTACCGATCGATCCCTCTTCTTTGTCTCAATCATCAGCACGCCTTCTGGGTTTATATGGGATTCAATCGATTCAAGCTCGCAGCTCCTCGGTAGCTTGTATTTTCGTTTGAATTCCCTAGGAATCAGATAATCTTTGGGGATCTTAAGCCCACTTTGTCACACGGCCATATTTGTCTTCGGCTTCGAGATGCGTCCCCTTGACGACAACCTTTCGGCCCTCGGTTTTTACCTGAAAATCAACAATTAAAATGGTTCTAAGAAGGCTTGTTACCTCCAATTCAGATGGAGCGAATTCGTGCACGTCAAGAGAAACCGAATATCGGCGAGGGGTTTCGGTGACCTTAAAAATATAATGATAATAATAGTCGAATAAAATTTTGCTATTGCACACGGCCGCGCTATTCTTTGTGTAGTTTCTTACATTTCCCTTTCCAACATGAGCCTTGTGTACTTCATGGTAGTGCATATCCGGCGCATCTTTCATTTGAGGGACAATCCTGAAGAAAATTAAGATTATTCACAACTGAAAATAAGTTTTAGTCATAATTAAGTCCGAATTAGCTTTGAAATCATAACCCAAGCTTGATGAAAATCTCACCAAGTGCTTGCCATCGGCCATCCCGGCTGCAAATAGTCGAACGGAACAAAGGCCATCGTTGAATAGATTTGAATACTGGGTTTAGTTTCGCAACACGAAATCTGTTCTTCTGGCCACTTCAGCAGCCTTATGTACTGCTTCGGCATGATGGGCAAAACACTCCCCCACCCTCTATTTGTTTGTTCAACGCGGCACGTGCAGCCGCTTTTTTCATAATACTGTTTCCCTCGGTCACCCACCTGGTCTGTTCCCTCCCTTTTACACGGTATTTTTCTCTGTCCACGTTTCAAAGGCTTGACCGATTTAGGTATTTGGGACGGTGGGAAGTGAGGTGATAAGGATGTGTACAATATTTTAAAATTAAGCCAAGCTGGGGGAGGGGGGGGGGTGATTAGTCAGCTGGCTGGCATATTGCAGCCATGGAGGGGCGTGTTCGGTCTTCAGTGATGTCAATTTGGAGACGCGTGATAAAGCGTTACTACAGTTATACAAATACGGTGCTGTTTGGATAACAGTTGTGGAGAAAGGGCAAGCCGTGAGGGTTTTTGAGAGTTTAGAGACCGTTCCGTTCATCGGGTGGATTAATTTGAGACAGCAAACCTTTGAAAAACTTGTCTTTGAGACGGGATTTAAGTAGGTTTAGCCAATTAAACAGAATCAAAATAATGGGATATATTTTTGGAGTGGATTTAAGCATCCGAACTAAACTATGGATTTTAACCAACTATTATATTATGAGATTTAGAACTTGCCGATTTTAGAACCGAGCTAAATCCATTTCCAAGCCCTTCCCCAATCAAAAACCCAATAAACTAACACCCGCATTCCAGAATTTATTCGGAGATTGGGTTGCCTTGTTGGAGAGCAGAACAACGCGAAGATAAGCCATGGAATTCTTTGGTTTCCCGACTAGCCCATTTGATAGCGGTGCCCATTTATTGATTTTGGCATAATTACTGAGTTTTCCACTTTCATTTCTCATTTTTAGGATGGGTAAAACGGTCCGCTTTGCATGCGGTGCCGCCTCGGTTGTGACGTTCGTGATCGGTGTCCTTTTGATAATTGCTGGCCTGGTCGTCGTGCTAAAAGTAGTGCCAGATCAAACGAAAAAGACCATTAAAGAGGTGTGGCCCCTAGTTATTCAGTGTTATAAGTTACTTCATTACAGCAAAAGCAACTTATCAAATATAAAAATGGAACGTACAACGATTACACAAAAGATTGGGCAAACCCGAAATACATTTCGAGGATCCAGTATTGGGTGTACGACTACAAGAACCCAATTTCCATCATAAACCGCGGCCAACTACCCGATATGGACGAAAAGGGCCCGTATACTTATGTGTGTGTTCATTTTCTCAAGTTATTTATGTGGTGTTTAGGGAAACAACTACAAATGATATTGACGGTATGCAGGACGACGATAGAATGCTTACCTATACTCAGGTTTTGAATAGGTATTTTGGATATGAATCTACTTTAGCACATAAAATATGTGTTCGATCCGACCCAATCTTGTTTGGGGTGTGATCCGTTGGTCGATAAAGTTCTCGTTCCGGATGTTAGCTATTTTGTAAGTGGAGTCGTAAGTATGCGGGGTGAATTTGGGCTTATAGGTGGCCATGCAAACACTGACTGAATTGCCATTGGGGGCTCTTTGCCAACAGCTATTCCCGACTCTTCCTTGTGAATGTTAGTTTTTATAATGCTCACAAAACCCACTAAGCATTACAGTAATCGAAGAAGAATATGAAACGGTAATTCTATCATTAATCGATGACGCATTGGCTGCATTCAAGGCCGGACCATTCATCGAAGTGGTAGGGTTTGATGTATGTTTGTATCCCAATTACCCCCAATCTAGACAATCGATAAATTGCTGATCTCTGGCTATGAACCACCATTTTACACCAGATTCATCCAAAACGTTGCCGATTTTATTTGTTTATTGCTGCAGACTCCTCCAAGTCAATGCGTTGTTTCGAGTCCGCAGAATGTTAGCTATGGAGTAAGTTGACGCATGCTACCCAGAAATGTCAATATTATGACTCTTTTATGGGCGCGAGCCGGGCCCTATTCACAAAGGTTAAAGGTCTATTTTTGGGCCTGACATGTTGCAGATACCAAATAAAATTCCCAAATAGGAAATGACGAGGAATACAGCTAATCTATATTTGTAATTTTAGCAAACGTTGAACTACACCAGTCCGCATTACACCATCTTGACGGGCAAAGGTGACTACCAGCGCGTCGGATTTATCCAGAGTTTTACGATGGAGAATCAGTATAACGAGTCTCAACCGTGGATCACAAATGGCACCTTGTTACCGGCTGCATGGTATGACAATTGTTTTCCAATTTAATTTTAATGCCCCAGAAAAAGAATAGAAGTTTCGATTCAGGTGGTCAGACTGCGGTGGCGATATCCAAGCCAGCTTGCATGCACGAACGATCCGTGGAAATAGTAAGAGGACTCTAGAAGTTATTTAGAAAATTCTTACAGCTGGCGACTTCTTTCCATCATTTCTAAAAACAACCGATGTCGTGCCAATTTATGTTGATTCTATCTGCAGGTTAATAACACTAAAAAATCTGTATTTATTTTTGACGTTAAAGACCCTTGGAAAGATGGCCGGGCGTCCCCAGGGGTGAGGGACCGACGGGGCGAAACCATGCACGCTTTCCATCGCGTAAGGGCCCCCAAAACCCCAGACTGGGTTTCCAGAAAACGGGTTTATAGCCATAACTTTTTTGATTGACTATATTTTTGGCTGGAAACTTCCATGAAAATAGTTTTTAGCCATCCCCATCGGTGTTAAAAATTTGAGGCTGATCGGATAGAAGGCAGCAATGTTCTGAGCGGAAAGAGGTTTTTGGGGAGCTTTTTAGTTCCAAAATCGTCGGAAAGGGTGTAAAACACTTCAGGAAATTTAGGGAGTACTTTCCTTGCCCTTAGCAAGCTTTTCCGTAGGTTTTTTCGTTATTATTATTTGTAAATAGCTTTATTTTGAACTGTCGCCTAGTAATGTGCACCAATTCGGCCCCAGGGTACTTGGGGCCCCTCCGCCGCCCTCACCCACTCGACCCCTTTGGTGTGGGGGTAGCGCGTTGGACTGCGGAGCGGACCATCCCTGGTTCGACCCCCGGCCGGTGCACCTCTTCTTGCTTTTTGACCAATCCCATCTTTCCAGAGGCCTTTAAAACTCTGAAATACCCCTCTTTCAGATCAATCGACATGACCTATCAGAAAAAAATGTACCTACGAAGGTATCGACTGCTACCGTTTTGAACTACCGGCTTCTGAGTTCAATTGGGGGTAAGCCTCACTTCTTAATCGCAATTTTCACCCACCTGTCAGACCCCGTGAAAACTGTGGCTTCTGCTTCCCGTTGCAGTACGATTTTTACGATAAGAACGCCGGTGACGCATGCTACCCAGACGGAATTATGGACCTCAGCGGATGCCAAGATGGTGCGAAAAGTTGCAAATAAAACGAACATTTCTAGGCGCTCCGATTGCCATTTCAAAGCCGCACTTCTACCAGGCTTCCGATATCGTCCGGAATTTTGTACCGAGGCTTCGATCAAAGGCCAGCGAGGATGATAATATTATTATGGATGTGGAACCTGTAACAATATATGTCATTCATTTTAAGCATTCATTTAGCAAACTGGGACGATTTTGATGGCACACAAAAGGATGCAAATTAATGTCATGGCTAATCAGTTCCCAAATATCAGGTCGTTGGGTATCTAATTCGTTAATGTGGATGTTACAGCACGATGAGCGTATTTATGCCTGGTGCGTACCCAATCTATTGGCTAAACGAATCATTCTATGCCGACCAAGGAACGGTCCATGACATTAAGAGTGATTTGATCAATCAAGTCAAACTTTACAAAATTATCTGCTATTCGGTGGTGGGACTTGGAGGTAAGCTCTTTTGTCCTAGCTATAGGGACTTGTAGGTCTACTGATGCTGCTGTCACTTTTGTCAATGTTTGGAGTGATTTACGCGCAACGCCATAAGGATGATTAGAAATTTTCAATTATTATTTATATCGAACAAATTTGTATTGTAATAAAAATTTGTATGTCGCCAAAGATTCCTTTTAAAATAATAACTAACATAAAACCAATCCCTTCACCTAAACAACAACAACAACAACAAAAGGCGCTCCCGAACCCAATATCCCCGTTCAATTCGCTCCATGGCAGACAGTAGTCACTTTCAATATCTCAACAAACCCCTTTCAAGAGCGCTCAAAATGAATGTTTCCCTATCGGCCTTGGATCTCTTTCCGGTACCGACCGTTTTTCCACCTTCACGACCCCTTCCACGTCGTCGAGAACACAATTTTCGGTCGCGTTCCGTCTGGGATCAGCTCAAAATACTTTGCTGCCGTCGCAGTACCCCCATCGTACCACCCAACGTTTCAAAAGTTTTTTTTACAAAACCCAGGCAATGGCCGATCACAACACGGTGGAGATGACCGATGCGCGGATATCCGTCGACTTTTTTGGCCACTGACCCTGATAAGCTGGGAGAAAAATTGGGGGGTCGGGTGGAAAAGGAGGAGGTTGAGGCAAAAGAAAAACGAGCAGGAAGGGCGGTCCTTTTGAGCCCGCCCAATGATCTGATCGTATGTTTGGTCATTTTGGACGGGACGGTGGTGGCCATTTCTCGAACAGAACACGAAGTGGAAGGATGCTGAAGGTGTTCGCTCTTGCTCTATGCTTCTCGATCTCCATTCAATCGGATCTGAAGACTGATGCTGATGATTCTAAGACGAAGGAAGATTTTGAGCTCGAAAAGCGTAGGTTTTGGTGTCGTTAGATATGTATTATCAAGGTTCTGAGTCTAAAAAACTGTGAGGTACAAACAATGTTTTGCTGGCGGCAAGAATTGAACTTGCAACGCTGTTAGTGCCATTTCCTGCCAAAAATAACTTTTCGTTCGTGCGCATAGGTGTTGATCAGGTGTATACCGGTGTGTGGAATATGCAATATGCATACCGGTGTGTGGTAACCATCAAGCTCATACGATCCATGTAGAGCAAATCCGAAGCCGAGCATAACGCTGATTTTGTCAGGTGGAAAAATATCGTAGTAGATAATCAACCCTATAGTGTTGTTTAAATCAATACCTAGCCCTCTTCTAATCGATCGATTTACTCAAACCCATTTACCTCGAACAGTTCTACTGTCCGGACCGACCAAAAACGTTTATCATCACCGTTCCCCTGTGAAATCCACCCCCCCCCGTCCCCCCCCCAATCAATCATCTTAGCTGGTTGAACGGAGATACACACAAAAAGTGCTCGCTGTGCAACTCAATCTTGCATCTCGCCAGCCTTTGTCGATTTCGAAGGCCATTTCAGCATCCCGAGATTTCAGCCACCACCCGGGAATTGACGACAATCGTGAAATTTATTGCTGGCCCTGGGGTGTAACACATCTTGGCCCACCCAGGTTGTGGGGCCAGAAATCAAATAGGGGGCCCTGGGATGAAATAGTGGTAGAACGCTACGCAGGAGCGATCCCTACTAGTTTTTACTGTCCCATACGATCGAGCATCCTCCAAAAAAGAACCGTTTTTAATCTATTTTCAGAAGCGGAAAAGGTACTCCGCCCATACGTCGATGGTTACAAGAAGGCCGTCTACGACAAAAAGTTAGCCTTTAACAAACAATTAAATTTACTTTTTAAGGTGGGATGAAGTGGCCGCCTATTACCACCCCGAGGCGTTGCTCATCGACAGCGGAAAGACGCTCCACCACACACCGGAAGGTAAAAATAGTAATTTGTGAGGCGATTTTCCGTTGTTTATATAGAAAAATTAGTATAAATTTCTTTGTACTTTCCATTTTTTCAGTCATTGTCAAGACCATCAAAGCCAACCGTGAGGCCCTAGGAGATTCGAAGACCGTGGTATGCATTAATATTAGAAATTAAGGTTATATGGTTTCAATTCACTCGAATTCCAATTTTTTATTATAGACGACCAACGAGCGTTTCTCTGGAGGCGGTGATGTCTTCCTCTACCGTAACACCTGGACCCTCAACAATGGAAATGAGACCCTTACCGGCCCATATCTTCAGGTTTTTCGACATTTCCCGCATTTTTATGATTGATTATTTTGAGATCTGGATTCGCGACAGTGGAAAGATCAAGCTCTACCACGACGAGTTCTCGTTCACCGAGCGCAAGCCCAACGATGCCTGAATGCGTCACAATGTATTTGATATGCTAATTGATTTTTTTTACTGAATAATACATTTATTGGTGAAGACTACGTGCCCAACATTTCCAGACGACATCGCAGAGACTTGAATTGCTCACTCGGCCTGCAGCGCTTTTGCGCGGTTGGCAATTATAGCAGTGATGTTCCTAAAATAAATTAATTCATAGTGATCTCAAAGCGCCTAAAATTTAAATACGAATAGATTGAAAGAAAGGTTTTCGGAATAGAAATTCAAAACCTACAAATATTTCGGGTGGAATTGCTGTCCATTTGTCTTGACATGACTAGTCGCCAAAAATACTTCGATGGCATGGCTACAAAACGATAGTTGTTGTCTGTTTTAAAATGAAGAACATACAGTATCATAGCTCCAAATGCGAAAAGCACAATGATGACGAGAAACATAGACTCTTTGCGCATCTTCGTTTTACAGCGCTGTATGGAAAGGCTGGTGAAAATGAAATTCGCCAGGCCGCAGTGGTTCGCATATAGGAAATTAGCATTTTGAAGGGTCTTTTATGTGGCTTTCTTGGAAAAAGAGACAATTGGGATGCAAAATGAGGTGATTTAATTAGGCAGGGTTCGGCTTGAGGCTTCTGCAAGCTGATTTATCTGAGAAAAATTATGCTTTGATCCCTTTCCGGATCAATAAAAATAAGAGATTTTTTTGATTGCGATGCCAATTTTTGTCTGTTTGCATTTTAACAACAAAGACCTCGATTTTGTGGCATAAATGCAGCAACAAACAGTTATTAAATTTTTATTTGAAAAGAAACGTTGCCCTAAATGAGCGGTTTACAAGTAGAGACAGTTGGCGTTGCACGCACCCATAACACTAAACAGTAGCTGTACGCAGAGAATTAACCGGATCGAGTGGGAAGGAAGGAATAGAGATTTGCATGGTGGGGAATTGCCCAAAAATCAGGTGAGATCACAAGAATTCATGGATTAAAGCAGTAAATGTGGGGGGAATTAACTGATCGTTTAAACTGGATATTTTTTGTTCAGCACGAGGATCGTTTTGGCTGTCATTTGCAGATTTTTCTTTGAGGTGATATCAGCCGCCGAGCAGATGTAAGACTATGGAATGGCGTTTTAGTTTCTTTGAATTAAATTTACCTCTGGAACACCCAATTTTCGACAAGCAATGATGAAGTTTTCAACATTCCGCTTGGCTTTTGGAGAAGGAAGCGGCTGAAGTTATTGATATATATATAATTTACCGTGGATCCCATTTGTTTTTCGGTTTTGCAACTATTAAATTACCTTATCGTCAGTAGGAGTGTAGACCGAACCAACAACTTTAACTTTCAGAGCATTCGTAAAATTGCATAGATGGATGCCATCGCAAAGTTGAGCCGCCAGTTCATCTTGCTTTGGATTCAGACTAAAAAAATAGTGATAAAAATAGTTAGTGTGATACTAATTCTAAAAAACAATGGTAAAACTTACTCTAGACCAAGCCGACTTTTGAAGATTGTTCTGAGATTTTCGAGAACATCAGATTTTTGTGGGGACGGGGTTGAGGTGGACGTTTTGGTGTCGACTGGGGGTGTTGGTGGCTTTACAGTAGGACGAGTCAATGTTGACGAGAGATTTGTTCGGCTCGGCGCGGATTGTATGATAGGTCCTAAAATGAGATTAGACTTGGGGAACATGACCAACTTGTTGGAGCAGGAGCTGCAGGTTTTTTGACGGCTGGTTGAGGCTGAGGAGCAGGATGCACAGCACGAGCACTGCCCAGTGGTTTTGTGGCTGGGCGTGTTATCTGGAAAAGCGGACATTTTCTCTATTTACGTATATTCGAGGAGTAAATCTAGGGCGTGTAGATTCGTAACAACCACAAACCTTTGTGGTCGTCGTAGTTGTCTTTATAATATTCCCATTATCACTTTCTTGCTTCTTCATCAGTGGAGCCACTTTGGATACGGGCTTTGTTGTATTCGATGTGATGGTCGAATTCTTTCTAATAATTTCTGTCGTTTTCCTCTCAATGGTTGTTCTCTTCATTGGCACATTGTTATTGATGGTATTTGCATTCTTGTCCGCCGCTTTTGTAGTAGCGATCGCTTCGTTAGGTTTTGTGGTCGGCTAAAAAATTTAAATTAGCTTGCAAGTAAATGTAATACCGATATCTTTTTAGGTGGCTGAGCAGTTGGAAGTTTGGGTTGAGCCGGTGGGTGTGTACGGCTTGAAGTAGAAGAATTAGAGTCGACAGAAGATGTCAAAGACATGCTTGTGGGGCTTCCTGGAGTTGTTGTTATCGAAGAGTTCTAATTTTCATTTACCTTTGGATTTATCCGCAAACCCATTAACTTTCCGACTGGCGATGGTAGTCTCATTGATATTTTCCAGACCATGCGACGGCAACTAAAAATAGCGTTCAATTTTGCTTTGCAGCTTGGGTATTCGGAAAAATTCAGTTCAAAACTCGGTGTCCATGCACTAGGTGCCCGCCTAACCAAAAAGTAGAGATCAATAAAGAATTCGAAAGAATGTTTGTTTGGGAAATATTGGGGGACGGGTGTCAACGCGTGAAACAGATAGTGGGGGAGGCTACGGTTGGCATAGCTAAGTATATAAAAAATTTGGACAGAAACCGGGGGTGTTTACTTCTTTTTATACGGTCGACGCGGGGTTATATTGATACTTGTTGACGAGAGCATCAGATATAATAAGCCTGTGAAATATTCATAGGCATTCATGAAATAATGGGGATACGGTACCTCGCTGGAGATGCGATGTTCATCAATTGTGCTGGCATATCCGCTATCGCTTCTTTGGCTTTGTG